CTGCTGGAGACACAGGACCAAGGGCTGGGTCTCCTGAGTAACGGCACCTGAACGCAGAAGTCGTCCGTCAATCGCTTCCACCTGGACCGGTACTGGCTTGTTCCGAGTGGCACCTGATGATGGGCGGCAAAAGCAGCGTCCATATAGGAGCGGGTTGCCCCTGAATCTACCAAAGCATGGGTGAGGATCCAGGGCCCACCTGGAGGGTATAAACGTACTGAAACCATAAGATGTTGCAAGTCCATTGGTGCGGGCCCATTCTGTACGGTTTGGGACCCCGGCAGCTAGGGCCATCAGCTACTGGGGTTGGCGGCTTCCTGCGGCTGGCGTTCTCAGGGCAGGACCGAGCGAAGTGTCCACTTCCGCCACAGTAAAGACAGAGATTTCCTCCCGACGCCGCGCCTTCTCTGCGGGGGAAAGGCGTGGCCGCACTGCCCCGAGCTGCATAGGCTCCTCCGTTAAATCAGTTGTGACCGTGGGGCTGCCGGAAAACTGGTGCCGTGAACTGGAAGTGTCGGCGACCCCGGGCCTGACGCCGATCCTCCAACCGGTCGTCTATTTGTAGACTCCGTTGAATGAGAGTGTCCAGCGTGGTGGGGCGTTCCATTGTGGCCAACTGGTCCAGTACCTCGTCCGAAAGCCCTTCGAGATACTGGTCCCGCAGTGCCGAGTCATTCCAGGTCAAGTCCTGTGCCAACAGCCGAAACTCCGTGGTATATGTGGCCACCGTGGACTTGCCCTGTTTCAAACGCCGAATCGCCCGGTTGGCTTGACTCTCTTCTGGGGGCTGCCGAACGCGGCCTCCAAACGATTGCAAAACCCCGTATAGTCTGCCAGCAAGGGGGAGTCTTGCCTGAGTAACGGCAACGCCCACTTGGCCGCCTGGTCCTTTAACAAACTAATCAAAAAGTGCACCTTGGTGCGGTCGTCAGGAAAGTTCCGGGCTCGCCCCTGAATATACAGCTTGGCCTGGGCCAGGAACATGGGAAAGCTGGCCGGGGCTCCATCAAATTTCTCAGGCAAAGCCACTGGGTACTTGCCCGGAGCCGGGCGCCGGCCCCAGGAGCCGGTAGGGCTTCCAAGCGTTGCTGAAGTGCCACAACCGCGTCGCTGAGCTGCTGCACGGTGTGATTCAAGGCCTGGTTCTCCTGGGCCAAAGCCACCAGTGCAGCCGCCTGTTCAGCCATGGCCTCTGGCTCTTCCCGAACGCACCCCTACGAAGGGGAAGTGCGGGTGTGGCGGGAGCAAACTGTGCTGGTCCCGGGGTAAGGTACCTTGGGTGTAGCAGAGTCCACACGAAGAGGGGCAAGGTCCGAGGCAGAGAGCCGGGCGGGGAACAGGAATGCTGGAACAGGAGGCTGTGCAGGAAACAGGAACACCGGATGGTCGGGAACAGGAGGCCGAGCAGGGAACAGGAGTACCGGATAGTCAGGAACAGGAAGCCGAGCAGGGAACAGGAGTACCGGATAGTCAGGAACAGGAAGCCGAGCAGGGAACAGGAGCACAGGAAGGTCCGAGGCCAACAACGACGTTGCTCCCGCAACCTGGGGCCGGGCTGACTGGGCTTTTATCCTCTTCTAAGGCCAGGGCGGTCCCGGTCCCCAGGAGCCCCGCCTCCTCTGGCCTTAAGGCGAGCACTCCTCCTGGGGGCAACCAGTTCCCTTCGCCTCTCTGCCCTAAGCCTCTGCAGATCAGGAGAGGCCGAAGGGTTACTGGGCCCTGGAGGAGGCTCACCTGTGGCCACTGAGTCATCAAGCCCCTCTGGGGCCAGAAGGGCTTCACCTGGGGCCAGCTCCTGATGCACTGCCACAGGTGCAGGCTCTTCAGCATCTAGGCCTTGCCCCAGTTCAGCCGGCCCTGGAGGCGGGGACTCCTGTGCAGGCTGGGATTCCTCTGTTTCATCCTCCGAATCGGAATCCCAGGCCATCACACCCAGCAAAGGAAGAATGGATACAAAACCTTATGGAATATACAGAAATGGTGAAACTTACCGGAAGAATAAGAAATCAAACTTTTTATAATAGAATGGAAATGGTTTATTGAATATTTGCAGATAAACAGATAAAAACATTGGGAGGATTATCATAACAACCTGCCGTTTTATAAGAGCATATATTTGTTCATTGAGTCATCTTCTTTAAATATTAAGTTTAATATTTAAATATTAAGTTAATTTGGATATGCAGAAGATATTAAAAACAAATTTAAGGAACCGCAGAAAGAGGGGGAAGGAAGTCAAGTTTTGAAATGTCTAAAATGTCCCGACCTGAAGAATTTGGAGCAAATGATTCAGCAAAGGAAACACAGCCCAGAATAACTAAGGAGATAGTACAAGAATACTTGGCTAATTTAGATGTATTCAAGTCTCCAGGTCCAGATGAACTGCATCCAAGAGTATTAAAAGAACTGGCAGATGTGATCTCACAACCACTGGCAGTCATCTTTGAGAATTCCTGGAGAACAGGCGAAGTCCCGGCAGACTGGAGGAGGGCAAATGTTGTCCCTATTTTCAAAAAGGGGAAAAGAGAGGACCCAAATAATTACCGCCCAGTCAGTCTGATATCAATACCAGGGAAGATTCTGGAGCAGATCATTAAGCAAACAGTCTGTGAGCACCTAGAAAGGAATGCTGTGATCACTAATAGTCAGCATGGATTTCTGAAAATAAGTCATGTCAGACTAACCTGATCTCGTTTTTGACAGAATTACAAGCCTGGTAGATGAAGGGAACGCAGTGGATGTAGCCTACCTTGATTTCAGCAAGGCATTTGACAAGGTGCCTCATGATATCCTTGTAAAGAAGCTGGTAAAATGTGGTCTTGACTATGCTACCACTCAGTGGATTTGGAACTGGCTGACTGACCGAACCCAAAGGGTGCTCATCAATGGTTCCTCTTCATCCTGGAGAAGAGTGACTAGTGGGGTGCCACAGGGTTCTGTCTTGGGCCCGGTCTTATTCAACATCTTTATCAACGACTTGGATGATGGACTCAAGGGCATCCTGATCAAATTTGCAGATGACACTAAACTGGGAGGGGTGGCTAACACCCCAGAGGACAGGATCACACTTCAAAACGACCTTGACAGATTAGAGAACTGGGCCAAAACAAACAAGATGAATTTTAACAGGAGAAATGTAAAGTATTGCACTTGGGCAAAAAAAATGAGAGGCACAAATACAAGATGGGGGACACCTGGCTTGAGAGCAGTACATGTGAAAAGGATCTAGGAGTCTTGGTTGACCACAAACTTGACATGAGCCAACAGTGTGACGCGGCAGCTAAAAAGCCAATGCAATTCTGGGCTGCATCAATAGGGAGTATAGCATCTAGATCAAGGGAAGTAATAGTGCCACTGTATTCTGCTCTGGTCAGACCTCACCTGGATTACTGTGTCCAGTTCTGGGCACCACAGTTCAAGAAGGACACTGACAAACTGGAACGTGTCCAGAGGAGGGCAACCAAAATGGTCAAAGGCCTGGAAACGATGCCTTATGAGGAACGGCTAAGAGAGCTGGGCATGTTTAGCCTGGAGAAGAGGAGGTTAAGGGGTGATATGATAGCCATGTTCAAATATATAAAAGGATGTCACATAGAGGAGGGAGAAAGGTTGTTTTCTGCTGCTCCAGAGAAGCGGACATGGAGCAATGGATCCAAACTACAAGAAAGAAGATTCCACCTAAACATTAGGAAGAACTTCCTGACAGTAAGAGCTGTTCGACAGTGGAATTTGCTGCCAAGGAGTGTGGTGGAGTCTCCTTCTTTGGAGGTCTTTAAGCAGAGGCTTGACAACCATATGTCAGGAGTGCTCTGATGGTGTTTCCTGCTTGGCAGGGGGTTGGACTCAATGGCCCTTGTGGTCTCTTCCAACTCTATGATTCTATGATTCTATGATTCTATGAATTATTGTAAAATCAGTGAATGTATAAATTTGAAAAGTATAAAAAAAAATTAAAGGAAAGCTTTCTGTGAGAATGTCATGCCTTGGCCAACATCTCAGATGCTGGTTGAGGGGTAGGATCAAACCAGACAAATCTGTAGAAAAATGATGTGGAGATTTGATATCCAGCAAAACAGTAAATTCTTTCTTGCAGTTTTCAGTATCCAAATGCTTAAAATGTTATATGCTTTCTGTCCAGGATATACCCTGGCCCCCAAATTGCTGCAGCATCTTAAAACATGAAGGGTGGCTCTCTATCTCTCTATCTTGCACTATCATCTCATTCATTTCCTTGTACGCTATGCACTCCATCTTAACTATGGGGTTTGGCACTCTGGCTTGTTCATCCCAGCAGTTTAAAGCAACTCACACTGTCAGCCTAGCCTTCCAGAAAGCACTCTTGAAACGGAGACGATAAATATTGTTATAAGAATTCTAAGGTCCCAAATATAAAATAAACATTCATAAATGTACAAGGCAAACACATACAGTGGTGCCTCGAGTTACATATGCTTCAGATTAAATACGCTTCAGGTTACACACTCCACTAAGCCAGAAATAGTGCTTCAGGTTAAGAACTTTGCTTCAGGATAAGAACAGAAATTGGGCTCCGGCGGAGCGGCAGCAGCAGGAGGCCCCATTAGCTAAAGTGGTGCTTCAGGTTAAGAACAGTTTCAGGTTAAGTACGGACCTCCGGAACGAATTAAGTACTTAACCCGAGGTACCACTGTACATAAGTATATAAACCACGGGTCTGAAGTAGTACAGCATAGCAATCCTGAAGCAATTTTGATTCTCCCAAACCATTTTGACTCCCAAATTGACTTCAAATATTCCTCTGCAAGGAGGAAGGAAATGGGAAAGCCTCTTCATTGCGTTTTGCTTACCTGTCTTAAGGGCATCTTTGTGTTTGAATAGTGTGAGCCTGTGACCTGGATTCAGGAATTAAACTATTTACCATCACAAAAGAATGGCCAGGCTGCCCAATTAAGCAATCACTGGCCATTGTCAGGTATCCTGGCAGACAGGATTTCAGCTGCAGACCACCTCCTGTGATGTATTTCTGCTGTAGACATACGGTACATCATCCTTCTGTGATGTATGTATGATGTTTTGGGGGTTGGTCTTGAGCTACAGGGTGGGCAGTTTTAAAAGTCTATATAAGGGCTTGCGTATCATTGTTCTGGGTTCCTCCTCCCTCCTGCGTGTGGTGAGTGAGAACCCTGTTGCAACAGTTTAATAAAGATCAGGCTTACTAGCTGCTTTGCTTCTCAATATTCTCTGGTTGGCCTCTGTTATTTTCTCCTACAGATAGGGAACTCACTTAAGGACTCTATACAGTCTCTTGGGTACCCCATAAGGGAAAAGGAGCAGGTTTTTTCTGTAGCAATGATGAGTTAAAAATCCAGAGAAGTTTGGATGCTAGAAAGGGAGCCTTTCTCAGTGGCCAAAACCAATGCCGTTTGGGCACAAACATATATAGCTGCATCTTTTGCAGTGGACTAAACATTCAGGGACACGGGTGGCACTGTGGGTTAAACCACAGAGCCTAGGGCTTCCCGATCAGAAGGTCGGCGGTTCGAATCCCCATGATGGGGTGAGCTCCCATTGTTCGGTCCCTGCTCCTGCCAACTTAGCAGTTCGAAAGCACATCAAAGTGCAAGCAGATAAATAGGTACCGCTCCAGCGGGAAAGTAAACGGCGTTTCCATGTGCTGCTCTGGTTTGCCAGAAGCGGCTTAGTCATGCTGGCCACATGACCCGGAAGCTGTACGCTGGCTTCCTCGGCCAGTAAAGCGAGATGAGCACCGCAACCCAAGAGTCGGTCATGACTGGACCATTAGGTCAGGGGTCCCTTTATCTTTAAAATACTGTCTTATTTATTTTATAGTAGAGTACATTGTTTATTAGAGGACGCGGATGGCGCTGTGGTCTAACCCACAGAGTTTAGGGCTTGCCAATCAGAAGGTCAGCAGTTTGAATCCCCACGACGGGGTGAGCTCCCCAGAGCACAACCCCAGAGCAATAATTGATATGCCGCTATTTCCCCTTTAGGGTCACGGGTGGCGCTGTGGGTTAAACCACAGAGCCTAGGACTTGCTGATCAGAAGGTTGGCGGTTCAGATCCCCACGACGGGGTGAGCTCCCGTTGCTCGGTCCCTGCTTCTGCCAACCTAGCAGTTCAAAAGCATGTCAAATTGCAAGGAGATAAATAGGTACTGCTCTGGCGGAAAGGTAAACGGCATTTCCATGTGCTGCTCTGGTTTGCCAGAAGCGGCTTAGTCATGCTGGCCACATGACCTGGGAAAACTGTCTGTGGACAAACATTGTCTCCCTCGGGCCGTAAAGTGAGATGAGTGCCGCAACCCCAGAGTCGTACACAACTGGACCTAACGGTCAGGGTCCCTTTACCTTTACCTTACATTGTTTATTGCTTTCGTTTTATGGATCAGTGGTCTTGTTAGATAGTAAAATTCATGATAAATTGCTGTTTTATGGATTGTTTTTAAAAGTCTGGAACGGATTAATCTGTTTTGCATTACTTTCAATAGGAAAGCACGCCTTGGTGTTGGAACGCTTTGGTTTTGGAATGGACTTCCGGAATGGGTTAAGTTTGAGAACCATGCTACCACTTTATTGGCAACTAATGCAAAAGGATGTGCGCTTCTCCTCTCCATCGGTTCCTCAAAAGAAGATCGCATAACCCTCTGCAACGCAATGGAATGGTTGATCCCATTTAACTCACAAATACCCACTGTGCTGTATCACGGGGAACTTGGGGGTATTCCCTGCTGACATTATTGTGACATGAATTCTCAGAGAACTCTATGGAGGCAAAGGAACTACTGTTGTCTTTCACATTATTTCTTGTTTTTAGTTTGGTCCATGTAGGAGTTAGGAAGTGCCTGGCACTAATAAACTTATCACCCTCTTACATTAGGTACCTGTGAAATTATTCTGATTTTTACTTTGTTATTAGCATTTTTATTGCTTTTCTTATTTTATCCAGTACTGGGATGAACAATAAAAACCAGAATAGAGAACAAACAGAATAATGCAACGTCTTATGCATGTGCCTTCTTAGAGTTCTTAAGTTTTTTGCTCTCCACAATTGCACAGAGAAGACGATAACTATTAATGGTGTTTGCTGTCCAGCTATAACTGCCAGAAGTATTGCCAAATGTGCCACGCCTGAAGTGCAGGATGTTTGAGATATGCAAGTCATGACATAAGGTCAAAAAAGATTGCCAAATCATATAAAGAGAGTCCGGTGTGTCTTGACATTGACAAAGCTTCAGCTGATGAGTTATCTTTTCTATGAAAGTTGCAGGCTTGTATAAGCCTCTCACTATTGTACAGTCTGTCTGAGATTGAATTGTACGTTCGTGGTAAGTTCCCTTGAATCCCTCTTAAAAGAATAAAGACAGCACAATCTTATTCAAAGTAAATAAAAGAAGTTTACTTACATCAGTTCACAGTTGGATCCCTGAAGGCAGACTTAGTTACAAATATGTACATGTGGATCTACCCCATATGGGGAACTAATCCCAGTGCTTCTGCTAGCTGAGAGCTTGCAGAGCAGTCCTAGCTAGAAGCTGGTCAAACAAAGAAGAAGTGAAAAAGAGAGAGGTGCGCTGCATGACTGGTCCTTTTGTTACCTGGACAGGTTAGGTCACACCCACCTTTAGTCACATGCAAAGGAAGGATGCTCCAGCCAGGAGGAACAGGAAGTTTCAACTGGCTATACCAAACATTCCCTCCTAGCATTGCAAGGAATGTTGTACTCGACTGCTGTTTTCTTTCTGATATGAAGTTCTTAGTTCAACAGCAACATTTTAATGACTTAATTTGGTGCCATCCAACTGTCTTTCATGCAAAACGATCCCCATGACATGACAATGGGCAACTGGGATATTTAATCATTTGCCGTTCGTGTATTATTATTATTATTATTTGAATTCTTCAGACATCTTTACTGAAAGTTCAAAAAGTACATAATTATATGTACACTAAACACGATGAGACGTAAATAAAAGAGAGAGAAAATAAAAAAGAAATGGAACCCGTGTAAAAGGGAAAATAAAGGGGGGAGGGGGGAAAACCTAAAACTGTATACTTTACAAAGTTGCTATTGTACTTCACCAGATCTTAACCTATTACAGTACAGTCTTACCTCACGTTACGTTTGCTTCAGGTTGAGCATTTTCAGGTTGCGTCCCTTGGGGACCCGGAAGTACCGGAAAGGGTTACTTCCGGGTTTCGCCGCTTGCGCATGCGCAGATGCGCAAAATGACATCACGCGCATGCGCAGAAGCGGCGAATCGTGACCCGTGCACATGCAGACGCAGGTTGCATTCTGCTCATGTTGCGAACGGGCCACCGGAACGGATCCCGTTCGCAACCAGAGGTACCACTGTATTTGTAAGAATGGATTGTATTTTTATAATGTATTTTAATGAGGCCAAAGAGATTAAGTTATTCTTAATGTTCACATTTCCAATGCTTTTGCCATTTTTGCAAAGCTTTCTGTGCTCCAGAGTAAAAGCATAATCGTCAACATGGAAGACAGCTGTCTCAGGTATTGTATCAGCTGAGATTCTGTGAGAATTTAGTAATCCAGTACTCACAATGGGAGTTAAGAGCAGGGACGGCCCAAGACATTTTGGCACTTGAGGTCAACTCCAAAATGGCACCAGAGAAGAAGGCGTGAGGAAAGATCTACATCAGGACCAACCAGCAGCAGAGAGAAAGATTGACCTTGGGATCTGTTGCCCCAGTGGATCCTGCTGCCTTGGCCTGACTCATGAGTGGAGCAGTCCAGGTTAAAATAAAAACTGGAACATACAAATCTCTCCGCCGAGAAGCAAAAATGGGAAGAGAGACCTTGTTGCCGCTTGGTTAAAATGCTTGTCACCAGCTGGACAGCAGAGGCAGAGGCTGGCTTGGTGGCAATATTTCTGCAGTGAAGGAACTTAAAAAGCAGGCTGCGCTACCCTGGTGGGTTGACCCAAAAGGGGTGGCACCAGAGGGACATTGGCCCTTTAGGAGTCATCCCTCCAGGAGTCGTGATGAAAGTGAGGGTGTTAAGTTGTGGGTGAACATATCAGACGACACAGCGATTCTTCAAACAACTCTTGTTCATTCACAGGCCAGAACAGAACTGAACTGAAGGGTTCAGCCAGCCTGCTTATATAGAGCTCCAGTACAACGCAACTGTAACAACTTTCTGTAACTATCCAATCACTGAACGTCACTTTCGATCCCTTATTTGCATATGTGGACCTGAACTATCTACAGTATCCCCCTGCTGGCCCAGGGTGAGAACTTCAGTACATAACAGGCATCCCCACCAAGATAAGACATTAGTTACAATCATAATGGTTTCCTTATATACAGCACTACACGTAATGGTTCAATTAGGCACAAAAGCATATCGGTTACATTTCACCTACTTCCATTAGACCGACAGTATTACATGTCCAGCAACATAGACCTTTAATAAGTTGGGCACTTGGAAACTCTGCCAGACCTCCAGGGACCGGTACCCAGGTACGGGGGGGCCGCCCGATTCTTGCTGAGGCTGTGGTGCGACCCTAGGTGGCGTTGAAACCAAGTCCCCTGGATCCGGTGCTGTGGGTGGAACCTCCGCAAGTGGAGTTGGTGGAATGTCAGGCACGGCAGTGGTCTGAGTCTGTGGAAAGTCCGGCAGACCCTCTGAAGCGGCTTGGTTCAGCTCCACCCCTGCAGTTTGTGAGAGAGCTGTAGGTGGAGCCTCACCATCTGTAAGTGTCTGTTCCGGAGCCATGAGCGCAGTTGGGGGCACTGCGGTAGTGTCCAAGTCCCCAACCCTGCGCCTAAGCTGGTCTATGTGCTGGCGCCACAAATGTCCGTTTTCGAGTGCCACCTGGTACTACTGTGGCTGGCATCCAAGGAATGTCCCCCACAAAGTTCCGGGCAAAGACCTGGTTTCCTGGAACAAAGCCCGGGGTGAGAACTTCAGTACATAACAGAGGACACTTAACGCTGAGATCTTGTTTATAGTCCACAGCCTAGAACAGTGTTTCTCCAGCTGTTTTTGGAGGACATCATCGCTAGCTTGCGAGATTGGCAGTCAGGGATGATGGGGACTATAGTCCAAAAAGAAGCCGGAGACCTAAGTTTGGGAAATACAGTACTGGCCTAGATGAATGGCGCTTGGTGGGAGAGCATGTAAGAAAGGTAATTGTCTGCCGCCTGGGATGAGGACCATCAATAATGGTGGGCATTAGACCCGTCAGGGTGAGAGCTGGTAGCAATGTCTGTGTTGTTCTAGGTGAGAAATGAAGCCTGGTTCTTGGATGCTGGAAGATTTAAGTCTCTGATTGATACGATTGAATGACTTGGAAACCTAATGGTGTTTCGTATACCAGGCAGAGGGCCTTCTCGGTAGTGGTGCCCGCCCTGTGGAACGCTCTCCCATCAGATGTCAAGGAAATAAACAGCTATCTGACTTTTAGAAGACATCTGAAGGCAGCCCTGTTTAGGGAAGTTTTTAATGTTTGATGTTTTATCGTGTTTTTAATATTCTGTTGAGAGCCACCCAGAGTGGCTGGGGAAACCCAGCCAGATGGGCGGGGTATAAATAATGTATTATTATTAATTATTATTATTATTATTATACTATGCTTTCCTTGTGTTTGTATGTTGGTACAGTGGTACCTCGGGTTAAGTACTTAATTCGTTCCGGAGGTCCGTTCTTAACCTGAAACTGTTCTTAACCTGAAGCACCACTTTAGCTAATGGGGCCTCCTGCTGCTGCCACGCCGCCGGAGCACGATTTCTGTTCTCATCCTGAAGCAAAGATCTTAACCTGAAGCGCTATTTCTGGGTTAGCGGAGTGTGTAACCTGAAGCGTATGTAACCTGAGGTACCACTGTATTACTCTCTCTTGTGTTTTATTTAAGCTATGAAACTAGGTGGGTTTATATGTACCCTTTTGAACAACGTTGTATGGATTTATTTATTTATTTTGTATTCACTTACTGATATTATTTCTAATTGTTTTTAATAAGTTCTTTTCATTGTTGCTGTTTGTTTGATATATTGCGAACCGCTTTGGTCACAATTTTGTGAAAAAGGGGTCTAAAAAATAAGCAAGGTGGAAAGCATCAATGTCTTTTGGCTATAAATATTCTGATTGGCATGGGTTCTAATCAGTGGCGTAGCGTGGGGGGTGCAGGGGGGGCCGGGGACACCGGGCACAACATCTGGGGTGGGCGCTCGCACTCGCAGCTCTCTGCCCCTACCTGGCTCACTCACTCTCTCTCACTGCAGTGCTGGCTGTGCGAATCCGATCCGTGCCGCTGGGTTGCCGCCCACTGTGGAGGGGGTGGGTGCCAGGCATGCGGTGCGGAGAGAGAGCGAGGGACTATCTGGGGGAGGGACAGTGCAGCGGCCGCCCAGCGCAGCGCTGAGCGCGGGAGAGAACCAGACCAGACCAGACCAGGCAGCAGCAAGAAGAAGCTGGCAGCGGCGGCAGGTTAGGGGTTAGGGGGCGCAAATTACTTGCCTTGCCCCGGGTTAGGGGGCGCAAATTACTTGCCTTGCCCCGGGTGCTGACAACCCACGCTACGCCGCTGGTTCTAATGTCATTTAGGAATGACAGCTGGAGCAGACAGGCCCCAACCCAATATCCTAGATTATATGAAATCATGGCTCAAAAGGATGTGTATATCTGCCAGATGGAATGGCAATTATTTCATATTAACTGGGCCTCTGCTTCCATAAAAGAGGGCGTTCTGTTTGCCCCGTGTCAACATTGCTATAGTTCTTATGGAGTACTTTAAAAATAAAATACCTACAACTGCTTTTAAAATACCTTCCTTTCCCCCTTTTTGCAGTTTAATCTTTGAGGTACCCACTGGGACCTGCTGCTAATTTGTACCTCAATATAGTATGCAACTGTACACACACACACAAAAAAAACCTGTGGTCTCTACCTGAAATTTGGAATGAAAATAAGGAGTTCCATTTCATCATGCAATCTTTGGGCACTTGACAGCTGCCGGAATTCCATTGCCACTTGAGATGGGAGGGGGGCGGTTATTGGGTTGTTGTTTTTATTTTGATGATGTATTTTGTGGTTTTATATTTTGATTTTATTCTGTGAATTGCCTTGAGACCTCCGGATACAGTGGTACCTCGGGTTAAGTACTTAATTTGTTCCGGAGGTCCGTTCTTAACCTGAAACTGTTCTTAACCTGAAGCACCACTTTAGCTAATGGGGCCTCCTGCTGCTGCCGTGCCGCCGGAGCACAATTTCTGTTCTCATCCTGAAGCAAAGTTCTTAACCCGAGGTACTATTTCTGGTTTAGCAGAGTATGTAACCTGAAGCGTATGTAACCTGAGGCGTATGTAACCCGAGGTACCACTGTATAAGGTGGTATATAAATTTAATAAATATGTTCCCCTCTTTATTTTCAACTTTCTTGGGCACATGAAACTAACCACAATTACCTTGAATTTCTGCTTAACTCTCAAGGAAGAAGGGCATTTTTGCTGGCCAGGTTTAATTCAAATCCATCAAACCTCCTTTGGGGAAGGCTCTCAAGCAGGGTGGAAGGAGAAAGAATTTGCCCATGTGAAGACCACCTGGTGGAAACCCTTACACATATGGTTCTCGGTTGTAAACTATATGCTGATCTCCGTCAGCAATTTCTAGATCGACTCTGTATCCCCAAATGGAAACCAGAGTCGGAGGTCATACATTTTCTATTACTGGGGAATGATCAGGAGCTCACCAAGTTAGATGCTAAATATCTCTATTTGGTTTTTTGTCGTCGAAATACACTGCAGACGACTGATCTCCCTGGCGACCTAGAGATGTGACAACAGACTGCTCTACCTCCTTTCTTTTAGTAAATGTTTTGTGCCACTGGGGAAGTGGTAATTCTGTATTGATTTGTTTCGGATCTTTGTATGTGATGCCGATAAAAGGTTTGATGAATTAAAAACAAACAAATAAATAAATAAATGGATACTTGATTTAGCCTGGCAGAGGTAGAATCTGAAGTACATACATGCACACACACATAATTTTATTAGTGTGCCAGCTTTTCAAACCATGCTTAAGGCGGCTTACAACATGGAAAAAAAATACTTAACTGCAACGTGACAAAAGCAGTCATAAACAATAAATTTAAAAATACACAACCAAATGGAACAATTTCCACATAATTCACAAGATCTAGCATAAAAATCCAAGAAAACAACAACAAACCAACAGCAACAACCCCCCCCCCCCCCAACAAAACAAAATAACCCTCAAACACTCCAGCCCAATAGTAGCATCTAGGAATTTGCATCTATGCTTACAGAACCTTTATTCGTATTTGTATATGTACCATTTGTAAATGTTAGCCGTGCTACACTTAAAAAATAACTTTTGCTAAACTGATTGAATGGCATCATTATATTCAAATTGCAATGGTGGGACACCAGCAAAAACACAGGAAGCTGAACAAAGGTTTTCTTAATGGAAATCACTTCCTTAAGCCTTTCCCAATTGACCATAACACCTCATGGACAAATTATGGGATGGCCACTGGCCGCCATCCCGAGGATGTCCATTTTAGCTTTGCTCAAAGCCCGTGGGATTCTTAATTATTTTCCTCTGAGCAAAAACCATCCCTTCTCTACACCACATACTGTACACACACATTGCCTGAAGCCCCTTTTTGGGGCATGCCAGAAGGAAATCTCTGAATTTTGCCCTTGACTCATGATGCAAATGAAAGAGGAACGAAAAGCATCCTTAACTGCTCCTTTTCAGAGGAGTCTGAAGCTTTTTGCCGGTAAAATGACTGGGCTTGTGCTATCTGTGGTTGTGCAGAAGGAATTTTAGCAAGGGAAGCTTTTCTCTTCCACATCTCTATTCAAAGTACAGGAACAATGACCCCTTAAAGGTAAAGGGACCCCTGACCATTAGGTCCAGTCGTGACCGACTCTGGGGTTGCGCCGCTCATCTCACTTTATTGGCCGAGGGAGCCGGCGTACAGCTTCCGGGTCATGTGGCCAACATGACTAAGCCGCTTCTGGCAAACCAGAGCAGCACATGGAAACACCGTTTACCTTCCCACCGGAGCGGTACCTATTTATCTACTTGCACTTCGTGCTTTTGAACTGCTAGGTTGGCAGGAGCAGGGACTGAGCAACAGGAGCTCACCCTGTCACAGGGATTCGAACCACCAACCTTCTGATTGGCAAGCTCTAGGCTCTGTGGTTTAACCCACAGCACCACCCGCGTCCCCTTAGGCTGTCCCTAATCCCTTTTCCTTATGGGGTATTCCAAAGCTCGTATAGAGTCCTTAAGTGGGTTCCCTATCGGTAGGAGAAATAACAGAGGCCAACCAGAGTAAATTGAGAAGCAAAGCGGCTAGTAAGCCTGATCTTTATTCAAGGAAAACTGTTGCAACAGGGTCCCCACTCAACACACGCAGGAGGGAGGGAGAACCCTGAACAATGGTGTGCAAGCCCATATATAGACTCTTGAAATTGCCCACCCTGTAGCTCTCCTATCAGATGTTAAGGAAATAAACAATTGTCTGACTTTTACAAGACATCTGAAGGCACCCATGTACAGTGGTACCTCGGGTTACATACGCTTCAGGTTACATACGCTTCAGGTTACACTGAAATAATAATAATAATAATATTTATACCCTGTCCACCTGGCTGGGTTTCCCCAGCCACTCTGGGCAGCTCAAAGCACATTAAAAAATTGTAAAAACTTTAGATGTTAAAAACTTCCTGATACAGTGGTACCTTGGGTTAAGTACTTAATTCGTTCCGGAGGTCTGTTCTTAACCTGAAGCATCACTTTAGCTAATGGGGCCTCCTGCTGCCGCTGCGCCGCCGGAGCACGATTTCTGTTCTCATCCTGAAGCAAAGTCCTTAACCTGAAGCACTATTTCTGGGTTAGCAGTCTGTAACCTGAAGCGTATGTAACCCGAGGTACCACTGTATTTCTATGCATGTTTATTCAGAAGCTAACCCAAGGAGGTTCAATAGAACCAGGGCTTTCCAGGCTCTGGTTTCTAGCTGTTTTTGGACTAAAGTTCCCATCATCCCTGACCACTGGTCCTGCTGGCTAGGGATGATGGGAGTTGTGGTTCAGGGGAAGCTGGGAGACCCGGGTTTGGGAAACCCTGATTTAGACTTACCCCAGGTTAAGTCTATGTCGGATTGAAACCTGACCCACTGTTTGGGGCTACTTCATACAATGCAAACTGGCTCGGGTTTTTTTGGTTGTAAGTCGCTCTGAGTTGCCTTGGGCAAGATAAAGCAGCTAACACATGTACATACATGAAGAAGAAGAAGAAGAAGAAGAAGAAGAAGAAGAAGAAGAAGAAGAAGACCAATGCAGTCAGAAGTAAGCAAGCTGTGCTGAGTTCAGTGATGCTTATTCCTGGTGAATGATGTGTTGTTTGTTGTTGTTGTTGTTGTTGTTTAGTTGTGTCCAACTCTTCGTGACCCCATGGGCCAGAGCACGCCAGGCACTCCTGTCTTCCACTGCCTCCTGTAGTTTGGTAGCTTTCGTAGCTTCGAGAACACTGTCCAACCATCTCGTCCTCTGTAGCCAAATTCTCCTTGTGCCCTCCATCTTTCCCAACATCAGGGTCTTTTCCAGGGAGTCTTCTCTTCTCATGAGGTGGCCAAAGTATTGGAGCCTCAGCTTCACGATCTGTCCTTTCAGTGAGCACTCAGGGCTGATTTCCTTCAGAATGGATAGCTTTGATCTTCTTGCAGTCCGTGGGACTCTGAAGAGTCTCCTCCAGCACCATAATTCAAAAGCATCAATTCTTCAGCGATCAGCCTTCTTTATGGTCTAGCTTTCACTTCCATACATCACTACTGGGAAAACCATAGCTTTTATTATACGGACCTTTGTTGGCAAGGTGATGTCTCTACTTTTTAAGATGCTGTCTAGGTTTGTCATTGCTTTTCTCCCAAGAAGTAGGCGTCTTTTAATTTCATGGCGGCTGTCACCATCAGGGAATGATGTACAGAATAATAATAATCATCATCATCATCATCATCATCATCTATTGGAAGCTGCCCAGAGTGGTTGGGGAAATCCAGCCAGATGAGCGGGGTAATAATAATAATAATAATAATAATAATAATATCATACCCCACCCATCTGGCTGGGTTTCTCCAGCCACTCTGGACGGCTTCCAATAGAATATTAAAAACATGATAAAACATCAAACATTACAAACTTCCCTAACCAGGGCTGCCTTCAGATGTCTTCTAAAAGTCAGGTAGTTGTTTATTTCCTTGACCTCTGATGGGAGGGCGTTCCACAGGGCGGGTGCCACGACCCAGAAGGTCCTCTGCCTGGTTCCGTGTAACCTCACTTCTCGCAGTGAGGGAACCGCCAGAAGGCCCTCGGAGCTGGACCTCAGTGTCTGGGCTGAACGATGGGGGTGGAGATGCTACTTCAGGTATACTGGACCGAGGCCGTTTAGGGCTTTAAAGGTCAGCACCGACACTCTGAATTGTGCTTGGAAACATACTGGGAGCTAACGTAGGTCTTTCAGGACCGGTGTTATATGGTCTCGGGGGCCACTCCCAGTCACCAGTCTAGCTGCCACATTCTGGATTAATTGCAGTTTCCAGGTCACCTTCAAAGGTAGCCCCACGTTGAGCGCACTGCAATAGTCCAAGAATTGCAGTCAGGCTGCTTCTCATCTCTGGATTCTCCTTTGGGGTCTGTTGTGATGAGCTCTTGGACTTCAAACTTTGCCACTGCACCACTGGTGACATTGGCTAAAAAAAGTGCTATATGGCATATACCCTTTGGGACTGACTGCATTCTAACAGGATTTAAAGCAATGGGGTGGAACTTGTGCTGGTGTGGATCCCAACTCCCATTAGCCTTTGCTAGCCTGGCCAATGGCTAGGGATGATAGATGCTGTAGTACACAACATCCCAATTTAAAACCTGCTTGTATGCAGAACTGTTTAGTTGTAGAGAGAGACAATAGGGATGTATTTTCACCTCACAAAAGAGGTTTTATCTATGGAAGGTGTAAAAATGGGGAATGCTTCACAGTGGTCTGTAAGTACAGTGGTACCTCAGGTTAAGTACTTAATTCGTTCCGGAGGTCTGTTCTTAACCTGAAACTGTTCTTAACCTGAAGCACCACTTTAGTTAATGGGGCCTCCTGCTGCCACTGTGCCGCCAGAGCACGATTTCTGTTCTCATCCTGAAGCAAAGTTCTTAACCCAAGGTACTATTTCTGGGTTAGCGGAGTCTGTAACCTGAAGCGTATGTAACCTGAAGCGTATGTAACCTGAGGTACCACTGTATCCCAAAACTGAACAACAGATTCTGCAGCCAGCATATATATTATGAAAGAAAACACCATTTTTATTATTTCAGTTAACAAAAGGAGGAATTAAGCTCCAAGGTCAATACAATGGAAGCTTCACAACAACAGAAAGGCTGTGTACAGTACAATAAATAAATACTTTTAAATTATTCAACTCAACCTTTAAAATACACTTTTGGAAAATGGGCAAATATCAGTGTAGGTAGCCACCATCTTACATGCAACAGAGCATAAATTTAAATTTGGACTTGAAATCATTTTTCAGCTTTGCTGACAGCTCAAAATCTGGATGATGAGAGTGCCACACGTATCAAGTGGACAAGTGACTCTCAAAAGTCCCTGGTGCAAGTTTCTCTGCAGCAAGGTCTATGCTGGGGAAAAAACACATTTTGTGGATCTGCTCAAAAGCCATGCCGTTCTCTTTTCTACAAAGATTTGAGTACTGCAAATGACAGACAACAACTTGGAGCTGAGGAATGTTCATAAAACTTCCTTTCGATGGGAAAAAAAAGTATTACAAGTTACGTCTTTAGGCCGCTGGGAATTGCAAGAGCAAAGTGGACCTCGTGAGACAAATTGGCCAAAAGTAACGCAGCATATCAATGATACAGCTTTACCGCGAATGAGGTCTCGACATCCAATCTTGGCCAACAGCTGTATGTGGTTAAATTAGAACAACCTGGTAATCAATTAGGATTTTAGGGAGGCTTACTGGAATCCCTGGAGGAAAGGGGGGGCAAGGAATCATCATCGGTAAAAGACTGTCTGTCCCGACGGCAGCGCGACTCAAGTCACGCAGCAATACGAGCTTAGACTCAGCGAGTTGATACACAAGTTCCTGGACCAGCAGGGGCTAGGGAAATGGCAGATGCAGCACATTCAGCTTCTAAAGAGGAGGTGGGAGCTAGGGGGGAGAAAACTATTGACGTCATTCACAAGCAACTGCTTTGGCTCACGTTCAGAAAGGCTTTGATAGGTTCTGAAGAAAGCTGCGCCGAGGCATTTTTATCTGTAATATAAAGCTTTGCAAAGCAGAATCAACACGGACCAAGGATAAAGGCTTGAGAATAAGTTGGTAAGGGCTGGAGGAGAAAGATTAGTTTCTTTCACGGCACAGAAGGTTCTATGATAAGGACAATTGTTGCCGATTGGTCCTGCTGTCAGCTCCAAAACGAACAGGTTTTGGAGGTTTTTGGAGCGTTTCAAAAACTTACAAGACCTGTTGGTCCAAAGAGAACAGCAGGGGAAAGGGGGAAAGGGAGTACGTCACAGAAAAAGGATGCCTCCATCATCCCACCTTCAACTCTAAACTCGTCCACGGCCTCCAGCCAAGAACAATAAAACAAGATGCTTCTTCCATCAGGAATGATATAGAAAGGTTGCAAAGAGAGGTATTGCTGCGATTTTTCAAAGGAAGTGTTATTATTACACTTTTAAAGTTAAATACTTTACAGAAATACTTTTTTTTCAAGTATTGCAGGACTTTTAAGATGATGGATGGTGTGACTAGATAATAGATTATAAGTGAAGACATCCTTTCCCCACCTTACAGCGTCAGAAAGGCAGAACTGAACTCTAGAATGATTATACGCTATTTCCTTTTTGGTGCATTTAATTGTACATGCATTTGGGGGTTATCACTTAGGTGGATTGGCTGTTATGTGATTTGCATTACATCCAGGTACTGCAGTTTGGCTAAAATTCAGCAGCATGCAGCAGCGCTAACTTGATATGCAAAAAGCCTTTGGGGGGGGGTTCCATGTGAGAAGTGCAGTTTTAACTCTTGCAGAATTCCGCCCATTAACGTTTGAGCTTGATTTTAATGAAAGTGTTGCATAGTTTATTATTAGCATCTGATGAAAGTCTAGCAGTGCAGCACAGCAGCTCGGAGGAACATCAAGTGCCGGTGGCGAACAGAAAAATCTGAAGAAGAGGCATAACTTTCAGAGTCGAAAGATCAGCAAGTACAGCCTGGAATAAAAGGGGAAAATATCACGTTATGTTTATAATTAAGAAATAATAACTAATGAAATCTCCTTAATTTACCGTATTTTTCGCTCTATAAGCCGCACCAGACAACAAGACGCACCTAGTTTTTGGAGGAGGAAAAGAAGAAAAAAAATATTCTGAATCTCAGAAGCCAGATTAGCAAGAAGGATCGCTGAGCAGTGAAAGCAGCAATCCCTCTTGCTGTCCTGGCTTCTGTGATAGCTGCGCAGCCTGCATTCGCTCCATAAGACGCACACACATTTCCCCTTACTTTTTATGAGGGAAAAAAGTGAGTCTTATAGAGCAAAAAATACGGTACTTGCTTTTGCTTTTATCTACAGAAATTCTCTTTAATTCTGAACCGTACTATGAGAGTCCTATACATAGTGGGATCAAGTACACTGAATCCTTATTTTAGGATTTAGGCCTCATTCAAATATATGCGGTATCATGGGTGCGGAAGACAGTCTAACATTTCACCTTGTATCTAAAAATAATTGTACGTTAGGAACCCTTACCCTGCTTGTCTGGAGTAGTACTTGCGGAATAAGTCTTGATTTGTAAGAATGCTTCACAGTGAGCCTTCTCAGTGAGAGCGACATTTATTTTTGAAAATCTTATGCTTAGCATAATCATGTACAGATGACCCACTTTCATAAAGGCAGCAAAATGCAAAGATCACTCTCCCCAGTCCAAATATTTTGAGGGACATTTTGTTCAGACGAAAATGATGCCTGGACAGAAAAGGTTATGCCGTGCAATCTACACAATATCATGAAACTGTTAAGAAGTGGGACAGGGGTGGGGGGTAGGGATGAATGGAAGGATCATTTATGGCAACATAATAAATCATAGTTAATCTTCTCATGGCAACAAACGTGTTAATCTTTAAAGCTTTAGAGCCCAAGTCTTGAATATTTAAGTAACCATATCCTCTGACATTTGTCTCCCCATTTTTTAAGTTTTGGAATATGGCCTTGTCGCAGGTGGCATCACCATCTGAAATAGAGATGATCACTACTGATATTAGGGACTTTTCTGTGGTGGCTCCATGGTAATGATATTTCCTTCCATTCAAAATATATGAGATCTGTATAGCCAAAGGTTGTAGGATGACCGTGGATCCCCCTCAGCAGAACTTTAAATTGTCTGCCTTAGATAGGGAATTTCTGTTTCTGTATTGATAAAAGGTAAAGGTAAAGGGACCCCTGACCATTAGGTCCAGTCGTGGCCGACTCTGGCACTCATCTCGCTTTATTGGCCGATGGAGCCGGCGTACAGCTTCTGGGTCAGGTGGCCAGCATGACTAAGCCGCTTCTAGCGAACCAGAGCAGAGCACGGAAACGTCATTTACCTTCCCGCCGGAGTGGTACCTATTTATCTACTTGCACTTTGACGTGCTTTCGAACTGATAGGTTGGCAGGAGCAGGGACCGATCAACAGGAGCTCACCCCGTCACGGGGATTCGAACCGCCGACCTTCTGATCAGCAAGTCCTAGGCTCTGTGATTTAACCCACAGCGCCACCCACGTCCTTCTGTATTGATCCATGCCATTATTATTTTTTGGGACAACAGTTTTTTCTAATCATAAAGTAGATGAAAAAAACCTGCTGTTTTTAAAAATGTTCTAATAAACCTAATCAAATGTGGGCCACTTGGGGACTAAAAAGGCTTTAAAATGTATTAGTAACAACAACAAAAAAAGCAATAGTACAAAACTAGCAAGGGGAGGGGGGAGGAAGAACCAAACACCATGAGCATCTGTGGTTTCTGAAAATATATGACGATGCAAATACTGGAAAGTGTACTCATCAGCTCAAAGTTTTAAATTGCATAAGGGCACGACTTATGTCCTGCAGAATGAGTATGGATGAACCTTTTAAATATAGCTCCCTTAATTGAGTTAGGCAAATAGCGGATGTGTAGATAACTCTTGAAGCATTGAACACAGAAAGAAGGTGATTGGTTATGAACTGGTTTTGCATTTTCTTTAATATTACCTTGCTCAGGGGTTCAGGACGATCCACTATTATTTAGTAATGTTTTAAAGAGTCTCTCTCTCTCTCTCTCTCTCTCTCTCTCTCTCTCTCTCTCTCACACACACACACACACACAGGTTTTCTGGCTTATCACTGTTAACTGAGAACAAGAGCATTCCTGTGTACAGCCTGATCACTTCCATTTCATTTCCCCCCGCCTCTCAATATGATTGGGATAAACCAGGGGTATTTCCAAAGCCCATATTGTGGGGGTTTTTTTGCTCCTTAATAAGTCATGAACAGCAAGCCAACAACAAACCACGGCTGTAGTTTGGCTAGAAATTGTTGCCTGTTACGAGAGCCAAGCATGATCCCTAGCTCAGAGATAACACAAAGCCAAGGTTTGTCTTGTTCTTACCAGGGGAGGAGCGAAGTGAGAGCCACCTGGCAGCCCATATAAACACACAACTGATTCTCGGAAAACCACAGTAAGTTAGAAATCTGCCTTGTTATGTGTGAATGGGGCCGTAGTACAGTCGTACCTTGGAAGTCGAATGGAATCTGTTCCGGAAGTCCATTCGACTTCCAAAATGTTCAGAAAGCGCGGCTTCTGATTGGCTTCAGGAAGCTCCTGCAGCCAATCGGAAGCCACGGAAGCCCCATCGGACCTTCGGCTTCCAAAAATAGTTTGCAAACCGGATCACTTCCAGGTTTGCGGCGTTCGGGAGTCAAAACGTCCGAGTACCAAGGTGTTTGGATCCAAGGTACGACTGTATATGAAAATTTTCTTGCTGTCATTGCTCATTAGTTCATAAGGTAAAGGTAAAGGGGCCCCTGATCATTAGGTCCAGTCGTGGCCGACTCTGGGGTTGCGGCGCTCATCTCGCTTTATTGGCCGAGGGAGCCGGCGTACAGCTTCCAGGTCATGTGACAAGCATGACTAAGCCGCTTCTGGTGAACCAGAGCAGCGCACGGAAACGCCGTTTACCTTCCTGCCAGAGCGGTACCTATTTATCTACTTGCACTTTGTGCTTTCGAACTGCTAGGTTGGCAGGAGCTGGAACAGAGCAACAGGAGCTCACCCCGTCGCGGGGATTCGAACCACCAACCTTCTGATTGGCAAGTCCTAGGCTCTGTGGTTTAACCCACAGCGCCACCCACGTCCCTACCTCAAGTTATATTTATTTGTTTGTAATATCACAGCCCAAAGGCAAAATGCCAAGAAGGCAGCAAAGAGTTGAACAAGATAAGCACCTGTGCACATATAAATTAAGCACAACCTACATTAAAGTTGATGTGGGTGGTGCTGTGGTCTAAACCACAAATCATCCCCACGACTGGGTGAGCTCCCATTGTTCGGTCCCTGCTCCTGCCAACCTAGCAGTTCGAAAGCATGTAAATGTGCAAGTAGATAAATAGGTACCACTGCGGTGGGAAGGTAAACGGTGTTTCCGTGCGCTGCTGCTCTGGTTTCACCAGAAGCGGCCTAGTCATGCTGGCCACATGGCCCGGAAGCTGTACGCTGGTTCCCTCGGCCAGTAAAGCGAAATGAGCGCCGCAACCCCAGTGTCGATCGTGACTAGACCGAACGGTCAGGGGTCCCTCTACTTTTACATTAAAGTTAAACCAGGGTTAGAACAGATTTAAGAACAAAGCCCTAAGAAGGTAATCCTGCAGCAATTTACAATTTTTTACCTCTACTCTAGCAATTAAGACAGATTAGCTACAGATAAGCCTTAACAGAAGTAAAGTCTGGAAAGAGTAAAGCTAGCATATTTGAAGTGAAAAGCTCCAAGTACAGATTTAGTTCAGCAGTAGAATATAGTTTAGCTGATTTCCTGGGAGATTTAAAAAACTGAAAACTAAAACTGTAAGTTTAGCTGAGGTGAAAGAGAGCCATGTTTCTGGGCTCTAACACAGGTGCAGTACAAACCTATGTATGTCTACTCTTAAGTCATAATCAATCAATTTATTGCATGTAGCCAAAGGCATTCATAATAAAATCTGCCCCATTCTTCCATGGGAATGAATATGTTTGGATATGACCTTAATCAGCTTTAGCTGTAATCTTGTTCATGCCTGTTGAGCTTCATAGCAGCCAAGCCACCTGAATAGCTTTGCGGCTGTAAACTAGCCAAGTAAAAGGACCCCTGACCATTAGGTCCAGTCATGATCGACTCTGGGGTTGCGGTGCTCATCTTGCTTTACTGGCCAAGGGAGCCGGTGTACAGCTTCCGGGTCATGTGCCCAGCTTGACTAAGCCGCTTCTGCGAACCAGAGCAGTGCACGGAAATGCCGTTTACCTTCCTGCCAGAGTGGTACCTATTTATCTACTTGCACTTTGATGTCCTTTTGAACTGCTAGGTTGGCAGGAGCTAGGACCGAGCAATGGGAGCACACCCTGTCGCAGGGATCTGAACTGCCGACCTTCCGATTGGCAAGTCCTGGGCTCTGTGGTTTAACCCACAGCGCCACCCCTTTTTTGAAGGCCAGTCATTTTACCTAACTGGGGGAAAGCTAGCCATATTTAGTAAAAGTCTGGAGAGAGCTCTGCAGATGAGCTGGACCCCAAGAGATGAAGCATTGAATTAAGGAGTTGGGAAAGTTAAGAACTTTTGCAAGTTTGCCAACACAGTGGGGCCAGGAAGCTTTTCAGAAAACCTCACCAAACCTCACAGCACTGGACTCCGCTTAAAAAAAAAATCCCAAAAAGGAAAATCCGAAATTAGAATGTCACCCAGATTGCCACATGTACAACTGCCTGTTGGGTACAACTTGTGTCAACATGATGCAATAACTGAAAAACTAGCTCTTCAGGACAAAGTTCATTCCTTTGAAGGCAAGGTGACTAATACAGGTAAGATGAGAGAAACAAAAAGGGAGACCTTTAATGATACAGTAAGGAAATGCCAGTTTCCAGTTGGTAGTTCCGCTGCTCTTAGAGAGAATTAGGGTTTGGACAAATGGGGAATAAAATGGGAAAATGTGATTCAGTGCAAGTATGTATAAAGCGTCGTACATTGGGGCAAAATATCCTAACTTCATTATAAACCTTTAGGCCCCAGGGGAAAATGTTCCTTTTTAACTGGGCCTTTGGTTGATTTGATAGATATCCTATGCCTGGCATGTCCAAAGTCCGTTTGGGGGGCCTAATCCGGCCCGCCAGACAGTTTAATTCGGCCCCGGCAGTTTATTTCCTGGGGTAAAATCCCCCCCAAAAAGTCAACAACTTTGGTCGGCCCTCATGCATGTTCACTCCATCAAATCTGGCCCTCTTTGAAAAAAGTTTGGGCACCCCTGACCTTTTAAAATGTGGGGTTTTTTTTGGGGGGGGGTTATTGGGTTGTTTTTATTTTGATTATAAATTTTGTGGTTTTATATTTGGATTTTGTTCTGTGAACTGCCCTGAGACCTCCAGGCATAGGGTGGTATATAAATTCAATAATAATAATATACACTGAGCCAGCAGTGACTGGCAGGAATGAGATCTTGGGGTCATGGCTAATAGCTAGGGGAAGAAGTCCACACAGTATTGCAGCAGCTATGACGAAGGTGGATTCTACACCAGTGTTTCCCAACCTTGGGCCTCCAGCTGTTTTTGAACTACAATTCCCATCATCCCTGACCACTGGTCTTGCTAGCTAGGGATGATGGGAGTTGTAGTCCAAAAACAGCTGGAGGCCCAAGGTTGGGAAACACTGTTCTACACCATGGATCATTAGGAAAGGAGAAGAAAACAATGGTGTGACCAAACTCGTAATAACTATCATCAGGATATTGGAGACATGGAAACTGGCAACCAAAATGCTAAGGAAGCTGGAAAACCTCCCCTACAAGAAGAGGTTACAACATTTGCACATAATTTTGATGTGTAAAATTATGCATGGTCAATTCTGTGTCCAGGGCAGCTGTCTACCAGCTCCATCTGGTATGCAGGCTGAGACCCTACCTGCTCGCGGACTGTCTCGCCAGAGTGGTGCATGCTCTGGTTATCTCCCGCTTGGACTACTGTGATGTACTCTAACTTGGGCTACCTTTAAAGGTGGCCCGGAAACTACAACTAATCCAGAATGTGGCAGCTAGACTGGTGACTGGGAGTTGCCGCCAAGACCATATCACACCTGTTCTGAAAGATTTACATTGGCTCCCAGTACGTTTCTGAGCACAATTCAAAGTGTTGGTGCTGACTTTTAAAGCCCTGAACAGCCTCGGCCCAGTATATCTGAAGGAGCGTCTCCACCCCCATTGTTCAGTCTGGACACTGAGGTCCAGCTCTGAGGGCCTTCTGGCGGTTCCTTCACTGCGAGAAGTGAAGTTACTTCTGAGCAGGTGTTTAGAATTGCACTGTGAGAGTGTTATATTGTCTCTTGAAAACCTACACATAGCAGAAATGGTTTGTAGTAAACATATTTTTTTCCAAAAAAGTTAAAAAGTAGTCATGTTGGCCCAGGAAAAGGGTTCCAAAATCCATTATTAGGGCAGTACCATTTATTAAGGGACGCAGGTGGCGCTGTGGGTTAAACCACAGAGCCTAGGACTTGCCGATCAGAAGGTCGGCGGTTCGAATCCCGTGACGGGGTGAGCTCCCGTTGCTCGGTCCTTGCTCCTGCCAACCTAGCAGTTTGAAAGCACGTCAAGTGCAAGTAGATATATAGGTACCGCTCTGGCGGGAAGGTAAATGGCGTTTCCGTGTGCTGATCTGGTTCGCCAGAAGCGGCTTAATCATGCTGGCCACATGACCCGGAAGCTGTACGCTGGCTCCCTCGGCCAATAAAGAGAGATGAGCGCCGCAACCCCAGAGTTGGCCACGACTGGACCTAATGGTCAGGGGTCCCTTTACCTTTACTTTACCATTTATTAAGGCAACTAACATGTCCCAAAATAGCCTTTATCAGGCTAGATGGTAAAACAAAGCAACGAGGGAGAAAGCCTCATCTGAATACTTGCTACTTCCTCCAATATTCTGGACGGCTCTTAGCAGATGAAGATTCAGAGCTTCACCACCAGCCAGTTTCTATCCTCTCCACCTGCCTTGTTCAGCCTCTGCCCTGACTGAAGTTCAGCAAGACTCGAAAACTTGCATGCTTTGGTTGGCCTAATAAAAGTATTGCCCTAAAGTAGATTTAGGAATTTCTCTATCATACCTCTCAGAACAGTGGTGCATATTTTAAAAAGCGTACACTCAAAGTATATGAAAGGCCCTAAGTGTAATTGAAAAAAATAATTCAATTATTTCATCGTGTTTATAACCCAGTTTAAACATTCTCCTTTGTATTTGTCATAGGAGTATCATGAGCTTCATCCATATATTTTCATAACTTCCTTTGAATATTTAGCCGAGATAAGAATTTCAGCAGAGAGCCTCACATTGCATGCTATGTGCACACGGAGCTTAAATCACTGTGGTTGGCAAGATGTCACAAACTATTTCCATTTTCTCCCACTGAAACTTATCCTTACTTCAGCTGCAGCCAGTGATGTCACCTCCATTAGATTCACAGCTCGGAAAGCAAACACGGCAGCTGCCAGGACTGAAAAAGAATGCACAATATTTAGACTGGCGGCCTACTAATTAGTTGCTACAGATATTTTGGTCTAGCTATTCTTTACGTTCAATTCAGTAATACTTAGTTTGGGAAATATTATATAGCCAGCTTAAATGCGCCATTCTAGTCCATTTGTGACAGTTTCGTTTTAAAGAAAAGACGTACGAGAAAGTCACTTAAAGTGCTCAACAGAATAAATATATTAAGAATTTCTTAATGTGATATTTGCCTTACTTGTAGTTCTATAAATCATGTGTCAACACGAATAGAAGTTATTAATATTGCAGCTGTTGTATAAGGGATTATTATTTTGACCAGAATATAATTGAAATTAATAAGCTTCTGCAACGCAGAAATAAAGAAAATCATCACACCATTAAATCTAGCACGCGGGGGACTACCTAAATTATATAATGCAGTATTTGAATGATTGGTATTAGTATTTGTATTATAAACGGGACACGGGTGGCGCTATGGTCTAAACCACAGAGCCTAGGGCTTGCCAATCAGAAGGTCGGCAGTTCGAAGCTCCCGTTGCTCGGTCCCTGCTCCTGCCAACCTAGCAGTTCAAAAGCACCTCAAAGTGCAAGTAGATAAATAGGGACCACTCCGGTGGGAAGGTAAATGGCGTTTCCGTGTGCTGCTCTGGTTCGCCAGAAGCGGCTTAGTCATGCTGGCCACATGACCTGGAAGCTGTCTGCGGACAAACGCCGGCTCCCTCGGCCAGTAAAGAGAGATGAGCGCCACAACCACAGACTCGGCCATGACTGGACCTAATGGTCAGGGGTCCCTTTACTTTTACCTTTTTAAAAAAAAAAAAAAAAATTTTATTAAGGTTTCAATCAAAAATTAAACAACAACAACAAAGAAAAAGAACATAAAAAAAGATACACAAATACACAATACAAATCTCAGGGAAAAAAATTAAAAAAACACGAAAAGCAAGAATCAACAATAATAATAATAAAAAAAATAACAATTAAAAACAATATCTCTTTTCCATTTCCGTTTTGAGTTTACTTATTTTCTGGACTTCCTCATACCTCCCTCTTTTGTATTCCAATTCAAATTGTTTGTCCAGCAATTTCTTTTCCACTTTTTAATCCCAATCTTTAATTTTAATATAATGTATAACTTCAACTTCTTTAAACCTAATCTTTGATCTTAATGTAATATAACCTTGAAATTTTACCTCTTAATTACCAAATTTCCATTTCCTTAAACATCTTTAATCCTAATCTTTAATCTTAGTCTATCATTAACTTTAACCTGTACAGCTGGAAACCACTTATTTTCAGTCCAACATCACTCTAACATTCTTTAATTTTGCAATGTTTCTGAAGATAATCTTTGAATTTCTTCCAATCTAGGGGTCCCTTTACTTTCATGCCAGTTCTCAGAATAGCAGAAGTGAGGGAACAGGACAGAGGCCCAGCCACTCTCCGTTTCCAAAATTATAAGTTTTAAGACACTGAGTCGGAGGTCACACAATGAAAAGCTACTGAAACCATGCAATTGCACACGAGGATACTGAAGCCTCTTGTGTTGATATCATTTTTCTTTAAAAAGGGAGAATGTCAATACCATCAACAAAATATGTTTTCATTACCAGCAAGAATTTCCAGAGAGTTGTATCCCAGAACTCTGTCCCACAAAAGCAGAAGCTGATCTGTAGCTAAGTAGCCGGAGAATGCTCGTACCATCCATTTAAATGATATCCTTAGACTATGAGTGGAAAGAAACACACACTGTTATATTTCCCCATAACATACAATCACAGTGGATTTGCCTTTTGACTTAGATGTGCTTATGTGGATTTCTGAGCCGTAAACGGAAAAGAGCACAGCTAAAGCCAAAGCCAACTAAAGAAAGTAATTCTTCTTAATGCTAAATCTGGCATGATACACTCAGTTCACTCATTCAGAATCTATTTGCTATCTGCTTCTTGAGCTTAACAGTATTTCAATATTCAAAATCGGGAAAGAAAGTACTGTTTAGCATCTATTGTAAATGCATTCTCCTTAGGGTAACAGCAAATGTTATGTGTCTCCACGCAGGTAAGCAAATATGTCAACCTTGATTTTTGTTACTCTGAGTTTGTACCTTGAAGCAGGAGTCTTTTTCAGACCTGAAAAATCATCTTTAACCCAAAAACGTGTTTTGGGACCCGTTTCTTAACTTTTTAAACCTGTATTTGAATTGTGATATTTCTAGTGTTCCTACCCACATCTGATTCCATTGTGGATCCCAAGGGAGGAATGATATACTGTACTTTTCCGTGTAGACTAGGTTTTTTTTTTACTAAAAATAATGTTAAAAAGAGGGGTAGTCTTATACACGAGGGCAATCTCCCCCCATTTTCTTAATTTTAAGTCTCCAAAAATAGGGGGCGTCTTATACACTGGGGCGTGTTATACATGAAAAAATATGGTATATCGTTTTTATTTGATTTTACAAGTGTAAAGTTATAACAATACCAAATACATAGCCATATAAAGAGATTTCTCTGAATTTCGAGATTTCCCATCATCCCCTCCCTAGATCCTATTGTCAACATTCTCAATTGTTTATGACTAGTTATGTTATACAGTGGTACCTCGGTTTTCGAACAGCTTAGTCTGTGTTCCAGTTTGCAAACTTTGCTTCAAAAGTCAAACGTGCTCCGTTTTGAGTCCTGAGCTTCTGTTTCTACCGTTGCACTGCTAATTTGCGTCCCCCATTGTAATTGAAACCTTCCATTTCTGTTTTTAACTGTTGCACTGCTAATTTGCGTCCCCCCATTGTAATTCAAGCCATCTGCTTCCGACTGCAGTGTTCTGAGGTGATATTTAGAGCTTATATTTGGTGCTTTTGTTTTTGCTATTTATTTTGCATTTTTTGTTTTTGAGGCTTTTTCGGTTCATTTGTTTTTGTGACCACGTGGAACCCAGTTCAGCTACTGATTGATTGATTGATTGATTGATTGTGTGACTGCAGAAATGGATAAAAGCCCCCCATCCAAACAATGACTAGAGTCTCCACCCCCATCTTTTTGCCCGGACGCTGAGGTCCGGCACCAAGGGCCTTCTGGCGGTTCCCTCATTGCAAGAAGCAAAGCTACAGGGAACCAGGCAGAGGGCCTTCACGGTAGTGGCGCCCGCCCTGTGGAACACCCTCCCATCAGATGTCAAAGAGATAAACAACTACCTGACATTCAGAAGACATCTTAAGGCAGCCCTGTTCAGGGAAGTTTTTAATGTGTGACATCTTAGTGTATTTTTGGTCTATGTGGAAGCCGCCCAGAGTGGCTGGGGAAACCCAGCCAGATGGGCGGGGTACAAATAATAAATTATTATTATTATTATCTTCAGTGCAGGTCAGGAAAAAAATAATTTTAATTTTTATCATCTATAATACTGTCGTATTTATTTTATAGTACAGCACATTGATTATTGCTTTCATTTTAGGGGTTCTTTTTAAAAGTCTGGAACGGATTAATCCATTTTGCATTACTTTCTACGGGAAAGCGTGCCTTGGTTTTGGAACGCTTTGGTTTTGGAACGGACTTTGGGAATGGATTAAGTTTGAGAACCAAGGTACCACTGTATTTGTAATTTAGTAAACCTTTTCAAGTTGTAAGCTGCCTCGAGCATGGGTTTAACTACAGAAAGTTGGCATGCAAATATAATGATGACGATGGTGTCAGTTTTTAAAGGTAAGGGAAAATGCTTACGGCTGTGCTCCTATTTCTCGAAGGTGATAAAACAGCTGTGGTAGATGGGTTTGGAGAAGGGTTTCAAACAGCAAACATAATGATACAATGCCCTTTAAAAAAGAAAGAGTATAATAATTTACTTTTTATAAAAGCACAACCGTACAACAAGTGTACCTCTTACTACTAATGAGTTTTAAAGATAGATAGTGAAAAAATAACCAATGTAGTTCATGCATAGATTGAAAACATACATATAACAAGTCAAAGTAGTACAGTAAGATTTGATAAAGTGAGGTTGTGGAATTTTTCATATTAAAACATCGTCGGTTGCAGACACAGACAACAGATTCTTTCCTAGATACATGCAATGAAGGGCAACAAACCGGCATTTAAGGCCAACAAAATTAATATATAAAGATAATCTTGATTTCAGCATGAGTTTTCTTAAATATAGGTTTAAACCACAAAATCAGCACTACATGCACTCTACACTAAAATAAGAAAAAATGAATTCTGTGATGGATATTAGTTTTACGGAATAGCAAAGCTTCCATTTTTTCCTGTTATTTTGCCATTTTTCCTGTTTTACATAATTTATCCTGGTGTTGTTTGTCATGAGGAAGTTGGGATTCCACCCTACTTCCTAGGATTCAGTAGACATTACATCTTCCAGCATTTATTTGCAACCAAAAGCATGAGAATTATGTTCTTGTTTTGTTTTGTTTTTTTTAAATGAAAGCTAAAAGATTCTTAGGAAGCCAAATTTAGTACCTAATGCTTTTTCTGAGTCCCTGTGAAATCACAGTATTTACATAGCCTTGCACCCTATACCTGCAGGTCTCAGGGCATCTACAACATAAAATCACAATATAAAAATGTAAAATACACAACAAAAACAAAAACAACTTAATAATCTCCCCCCCCCCCGGGCTTTCCCTCCCTATCTTCTCACTGTGTACCCCATAAACCTCTGCTGGAAATTCTCCCAATGCTCCAGAGCAGATTTAGGAGTTGTGTCAACACACAAAGGGAGGGGAGAATCTTGTTCCATGAACGCAAAAACTCATTTGAATCCCTCCCAGAGCCAACCTAAATTAATCCCCTGGATAGAATGTATCAAACTTCTCCAGAACATTTAATGTGTGGGAAACACTCTGTCCCGATTCAGACATAACACCTTTCTCCCTGCCTAGGTTTTAAGTTGCGAGCAACTCCTGTTAACCCTGGATAAAATTAACCTGGGTAATTTTGCATCAGGTAATTAAATTACAATCTCAAACTGAAGAGGATGTTGGCATTGAAGGCTCAGTATGTTAGCTGCGGCTGAACATGACCCAAGGACTGCGAGACCGTTTCCAAACTCACTCCCATTTCTGAAATTCTTTTCTATCCCTGTACGTATACATCTGTCAATTTTTTTTATAATGCTTTATAAATCTCACAAAGTGGAACCTAGCTCAAAAAAAGCTCAGGCCGCAAGAAATGTGTTTGCCTTTTAAACCGACACATGGTAGCATAGTTTTGCATGCAAAATGACATGATAGATTGTATTTTAATATTCTGCTGAAAGCCGCCCAGGGTGGCTGGGAAACCCAGCCAGATGGGCGGGGTATAAATAATAATTTATTATTATTATTATTATTATTATTAGGTCCCAGGTTCAAACTCCAGATCTCTAGTTGAAGAATCTCAGCAGGATTGGAAAAGACATCCAGCTGAGGCTTTAAACTGTTTCTTCTATAGCTCAGTTGGCTAGAGCATGGTTTACACCAAGGTTGCAGGTTCGATCCCTAAAAGGGACACCTGCATGTTGTTGTAAACAAAAATTGCCCTTTTCCCTTATGGGGTATCCAAGAGCCCATATAGAGTCCTTACATAGGTTCCCTATTTGTAGGAGAGAATAACAGAGGCCAACCAGAGCATATCGAGAAGCAAAGCAGCTAGTAAGCTTGATCTTTATTGATCTGTTGCAACAGGGTGCTCCCCTCACCCGCAAGAGAGAGGAGGAACCCAGAAAAATGGCGTGCAAGGCCATATAAAGACTTTTGAAATTGCCACCCTGTAGATCAAGACCACCCCCAGAAACATCATACATACATCACAGAAGGGGTGTAAAATAAGACCACCCCTCAGATACATCATACCTACATCAGAGAAAAGGCGGTCTTAAAACAGAAATTTGAATGTTGTTTTTCTCCTGTCGTTATTTATCTCCTGTCTGGCAGGTTACTTGATTGGATTGCCTGGGGAGCCTGGCCATTCTTTTGTAGTGATAAATATTTAGTTCCTGGACCAGGTCACAGGCTCACACCCTATTCAAACACAGACATACCCTTAAGACAGGATTTGTGAAGGTAAAGACAATGGGGAGGCTTTTCCATTTTTCTTTGACATTGCAGAAAAAACATTTGGTCAGTTTGGGACAGTTTGAAAATCAAAATGGTTCCAGGTCGGTCTTCCTGTGCTGATCTATGTATGTGCTTGGTTGGTACACTTATGAACATTTAACTTATATCTAAGACCTCAAAATTCCTATCACAATGTTCCTGCATTGTAGGGGCCTGGACTAGATGATCCTCAGGGTCTCTTCCAGCACTTGTGATTCTATTATCCCTATGAAACAGGCCAATAAACTGACAGTATAAATCTGTCTTGTATGTTCATATTTAATACGCAAGAGATTTTATCAACACAGAGGTCTACATTTTAAAATATTTTTGTACAAGTCAAACAAAGCGAAGGTTTGCATAGACAGCTGTCCTGAGTTTTTAGAACAGGCACGGTAAAAAGAGAGAGGCATATTTTAGTTCGTTGCCTTTTGCATGTTCAGATTTGTTCAAAGCAAACTTACGGACGGGTGAGAAGAGATGGAATGAAGTCGGAAGAAATAGCGCACGTATATTTCGCGAAACATCTGATACAGCTTGGAAGGTTCGTTATACAGGAAACAAAGTGGAGCGACTGAAAGGATAAAAGACATTTGTTACCACAACACCACTACTTGTTAAAATCACAAGATGCATGTCAAACAAAACCTGCATATTCTGAACGAACACCAGTTCTTTGTGGAGGTAGAAATAAGAACAATACGTATGTTAATGCAGCCGCAGCTATGGAATAATCGTGTCTTTTCTTAATAGTCATTCAAGTATTGCCTTTTTATTGACAAGTGGAATAACAACAGGCCACTTTAAACATGTGATTACTTTGGGAATGCCAGTCTCACAGTTGAGACAGATTTGCTTGAAGGCACAATGCTGTTAATCAGGACCAAAGCGTGGGTTGCACATACAAAGTCACACAAATTTATTTACAGTGGTACCTCAGGTTACATACGCTTCAGGTTACATACGCTTCAGGTTACAGACTTCGCTAACCCAGAAATAGTGCTTCAGGTTAAAAATTTTGCTTCAGGATGAGAACAGAAATCGTGCGGCGGCAGCAGGAGGCCCCATTAGCTAAAGTGGTGCTTCAGGTTAAGAACAGTTTCAGGTTAAGAACGGACCTCCAGAATGAATTAAGTACTTAACCCGAGGTACCACTGTATTTATTTATTTGGTAAAATAACCAGTGAAGAAACTGGGGTAGCCACATAAATACTATCCATAGGTAGGTACTTCCATGCAACCCCAACCTGGTTGCAAAATATGAACCACCCCAGAACCTGTGATCATCACCTGAAGCCCTTGTGTGTTCCCTCCATGATAGATCCCAAGGGCGGCAGCACAAGAATGGACCTTTTCTGTGGTGGCTCCCTGTTTGTGGACAGTTCTTTCCAGGGAGGCTCGCCTGACACCATTATTATATCTCTTTATACACCAGACAAGAACTTTCTTCTACAACTAGGCCTGTGGCCTTTAACTATCTGTGGCCTTTTAGAAGTTGGTTGGGTGTTTTAAATGTATTTTTTAACCTTCAGTTTAATGTATCTATGTGGTGGGGATGTTTGGTTGGTTACTTGGTTGGTTGTAGGTTGCTTTGAGTTATCTTGGGCAAAATAAAGTGACTAACATTTAATTAAGAAGAAGAAGAACAGCAACAATAGAAAAATTAATAAAAAATCAGAATTAGCCTCCTGGGCAGGGGAAGAATGTGGAAGAAGGCTCTTCTTCCTCCAACGATGAACAACAGGCCCCATTACTTGCCAAAAATTCCCCGAATCCTAAGGCTATGAGATGCAAGCCAAACATAGGAGCCTGACAGCTCAAACAACTCCCTGGCCCCATTCTCCAGAAATCCCACCTACTGAAATGCTGGAACTAAGACCAGCAATCCAACTTAATCTCCACCAAACCTCCAGGTATGATAAACACAGACAGATATGATATTGCAACAATATAAACTGACTTACTTATTCAATTAATCAAACTTCCAATTTTTAGCTCCAGTGCTAGTATTGAAGAGCCACTTACCGTACATCGAAAAGCCATGGAAAGGGATTACACCTGCAAAACAGAGATATTCCAGTTTACTGTGAGGATTGTTCATGATTCCACAGTTCTTTATGCTTTGTAAGGGAAAAAACCCCAGACAAAAGTATACCCAACCGATGACAAAAGCCATCAAAAAAAGCCACTGGTTAGCAATCATAAATCAGAGGCTAACCAGTGGCTCAATAAAATCTCCTTCTTCAAATGCCAAAAACAGAAGGCCTTACAAGCCTAACAACAGATGGTTGGCGAGTTGCGTTCAATGTAAAGGGTCAGAAATTCTGCAGGCTTCTTTTAGTTCAGAGTTGATGGCTTTTTTGAGGCCACGGCCAAATGTAAAGTTAGCCACCCCACTAAGAGCTGCATGTCAACAATGTGCACACATTCATTGCACATATATGTTCACCGCATACACTCGCTGCACATGCAGACACACAGTGTTCTCTCTTTGTCTTGCACTTCCCACTGCAATTAGGAGGAATAATAATAATAATTTTATTGTTTATACTCCGCCCATCTGTCTGGGTTTCCCCAGCCACTCTGGGTGGCTTCCAGCAAAATCTAAAAAATAATAAAATGTCAAACACTAGAAACTTCTCTGAACAGGGCTGCCTTCAGATGTATTCTAGAAGTGGTGTAATTCTTTATCTGCCTGACATCTTATGGGAGGGCGTTCCACAGGGAGGGCGCCACCACCGAGAAGGCCCTCTGCCTGGCTCCCTACCGAAAACTCAGAAGTGGAGCCACTCATGACAGTTCAACTGTGAAGGAGTTCTAAGGATGTGTTGGTGCTATTTGTCTGGGATTGTATTATACTGTCTTGCAAAGGCACCTCTTCTCCTTCCGGTGCAGCACCATCGCTAATAATAATAATAATAATTTTTTTTTTATTTATACCCCACCCTCCCCAGCCAAGACCGGGCTCAGGGCGGCTAACAACCAATAATACAAACAAGTTGATTAAAATACGATTTAAAAGATTAAGATACAATATTAAAACAATTAGGGAGCAATCTCATCATAGGAGGAGAAAGGAAAAAGAAAAAGGGGGAGGGAATCAAACTGATTCTGAGCCAAAGGCCAGGTGGAACAACTCTGTCTTACAGGCCCTGCGGAAAGAGATCAGATCCCGCAGGGCCCTGGTGTCAAGAGACAGAGCGTTCCACCAGGCCGGAGCCAGTGTTGAGAAGGCCCTGGCTCTGGTTGAGGCTAATCTAACTTCCTTAGGGCCCAGGACCTCTAGGGTGTTGCTATATATGGACCTTAAGGTTCTCCGTGGGGCATACGAGGAGAGCCAATCCCGTAGGTACGAGGGTTCTAGGCCGTGAAGGGCTTTAAAAGTCAAAACCAGCACCTTAAAACTGACCCTGTACTCCACCGGGAGTCAATGCAGCTGGAAAAGCACTGGGTGAATATGTTCCCATGGCAGAGACCCCGTGAGGAGCCTTGCTGCAGCATTCTGCACCCGCTGGAGTTTCTGGGACAGCTTCAAGGGCAGCCCCGTGTAGAGCGAATTACAGTAGTCAAGCCTGGAGGTGACCATCGCATGGATCACTGTGGCCAGGTCGGGGCGGGAAAAGTAAGGGACCAACTGCTAGAAGGTCTTAGCGCAGGGCTGCCGTATTCCAGTCCCCCAAATACGGGGGGCCCGGTTTGCAAATTGTGCAACTCACTTGCACAATTGCAAATCGCATGGTGAGTTGGGAAAGGGTTCAGCAAGCCTGCTCCCACAGACTTCCAACTCCAGACCACGAGCTAGTGGCAGAAAGGCCAGCTCATGCTGTAAAAACTGTACTACAGCATATGCAAAATATGCTCAGCCAAAGACAACGGTGGGATTAAGCATGCCCAAACAGCGGCTAGAACATGATAAAACATGGTCAATTCTCTAAGAAAAGAGGGAAACCTCTTCCTGTCAAACCCTGTTGTGTTTCCAGTTGTCCGTTACATAAATCAGGAGAATTCGTGGTCTTAGAAATTACTGCAGTTTCCCCTTTCCCCACTAGAGGAGGCAACAGGATAACTGCTTTACCATTTGGCGGATAAAAGACAGCATATTCTTCCATGCCAAGTTTCCCTGTGAAAAGAACAGTCAATGGAAAAGAGTAAGTAACAGACATAGGGGAAGAGAACAAAGACTTTTCCAAATTGAAAATGTAGATCTGATGCAGTTGAGAAAGTGAAACGGCAGTGGGAAATTAGGAATGATTATGGTGTAACGCTAGTAAAGGTAAAGGGACCCCTGACCATAAGGTCCAGTCGTGGCTGACTCTGGGGTTGTGGCGCTCATCTCGCTTTACTGGCCGAGGGAGCCAGCGTACAGCTTCCGGGTCATGTGGCCAGCATGACTAAGCCGCTTCTGGCGAACCAGAGCAGCGCATGGAAACGCTGTTTACCTTCCCGCCAGAGCGGTACCTATTTATCTACTTGCACTTTGACGTGCTTTCGAACTGCTAGGTTGGCAGGAGCAGGGACTGAGCAAGGGGAGCTCACCCCGTCGCGGGGATTCGAACCGCCGACCTTCTGATCGGCAAGTCCTAGGCTCTGTGGTTTAACCCATAGCGCCACCCGCATCCCTATGGTGTAACGCTACAGAGCTGTAAAACAGACCAATCTACAAAATAATCTTCTAAAAGAACGAACAATGAATGAGATCAATGCAAATACGTGAAACATGTCTTACTCAAACTTTGAATAGCCACCTATTGGATTTCTTAATATGAATTTTGGGGAAAACAATCCTGCTCTCCATGCAGACAAGCAAGTTGGACAGAAATGATTGTTTGTTTGATTGATTGATTGATTGATTGATTGATTTTATATACCACCCTATACAGTGGTACCTCGGGTTAAGTACTTAATTCGTTCCGGAGGTCCGTTCTTAACCTGAAACTGTTCTTAACCTGAAGCACCACTTTAGCTATTGGGGCCTCCTGCTGCCGCCGCGCCGCTGGACGATTTCTGTTCTCATCCTGAAGCAAAGTTCTTAACCCAAGGTACAGTGGTGCCCCGCAAGACGAATGCCTCGCAAGACGGAAAACTCGCTAGACGAAAGAGTTTTCCGTTTTGGAGGTGCTTCGCAAAACGAATCTCCTATGGGCTTGCTTCGCAAGACGAAAATGTCTTGCGAGTTCCTGCAGTTTTTTTTTCCTTTCCCCCCCTTTTTCTAAGCCGCTAAGCCGCTTATCTGCTTATCCGATAAGCTGATAAGCCGCTAAAAGCCGCTAAAAGCCGCTAATAGCGCTAATCCGTCAATGGGCTTGCTTCGCAAGACGAAAAAACCGCTAGACGAAGAGACTCACAGAACGGATTCTTTTCGTCTTGCGAGGCACCACTGTACTATTTCTGGGTTAGCGGAGTCTGTAACCTGAAGCATATGTAACCTGAAGTGTACGTAACCTGAGGTACCACTGTACCTGGAGGTCTCAGGGCAGCTCACAGACCAAGTGAGTGAGTGGTTTTCTCACTTTACTTGCTATTTAGCAACAACAGTTCAAATACTGAGCACCAAAGCGGATGTGATTGATGGTTCGGTTCTCTCATAGATAGGTAGATTTAATTTAAAACAGTCGTGTGAGGCTGGTAGTTTGACTGGCAAACTATCACTGGGTGCTTAACGCTTTCTTTCTATGGCATTTCCCTGCTGTAATTTTCCTTCTTCATATCTATTTCGGAGATGGGAAGGGAGTTAAACATCCCTCCCACAATCGCAGTTAAACTAGCAGCTGATGCAGCAACTTTGGAGTAAAAATGTCTCTGGGAAATCCTCATCATGGATCTTTCCCATCACATTTCCTTTGCAGCTAGGATTTGAACCTGCCGTTGCTCAGCGTTAAGTGAAGGGAAAAGCTGACTCCTTTTGGCATACTCTCTCCATGGCAGCGCGGAGATAAGGGACCCAAAGCTGCCTCCATTTCCCTCTTCACCCAAATGAGCTTCTGAAGGAAAATGCCATATATCAGGGCTAAGAAGAAAAGGACTAAGCCCTCTTTGCAACCCCACTTCCCTGGTCAAATTAAAGTTCCATGCAGCTGTTATGACAGGGAAAGGAAGTGTGAGGTCCTGATCATTTCTGACCTAGGTCACATCAGGCAGAGGAAGGTAAGGGAACAAAAAGTGGTGAAAACTCTACTGCCCATTCAGTTAAAGGGCCATCACTTTTTCTCTCAGGGCATCAAGGGGAACAGAGAATACTCTGTTTTTGGGGGGGTTTTTGGGGGGAGGATCAGCTGAGACCTTCTACTGAAAGAAGAGGATCTTAGGCTGTTCTACCCAGCACAATACAAAACTGCCTTCCTGCCTTCACTTTCTGTGAAGACAGATTTCCATGACAAAGCCAAGCGTCATTCCCTCTCCCCCATCCCTTCAGCCTAGTATCAGTAAGGCTTAAAAGAAATTAGCAGGACTTTAAAAGTGCTTTGCTTTGAGAGGATCAAACCCATTATTTAAATCTAGAGCACAGAAGCATTATTTGAGCGAAATTGCTGTTTTAGCATATGCCTACATGAATTTTAAAATACAGTGGAACCTCGGGTTACATACGCTTCAGGTTACAGACTCTGCTAACCCAGAAATAGTACCTCGGGTTAAGAACTTTGCTTCAGGATGAGAACAGAAATCATGCTCCGGCGGCGTGGCGGCAGCAGGAGGCCCCATTAGCTAAAGTGGTGCTTCAGGTTAAGAACAGTTTCAGGTTAAGAATGGACCTCCAGAACGAATTAAGTACTTAAGTGGAGGTACCACTGTAGGGTCATTTTCTCTCTCTGAAGTTAAGCAGGGACCTATGATGCGATCTGGAGAGAATGTAAAAGATGACAGTCATGGGTGGTTTTAGAGCCTTAGGTTTTATGGTAGATGAAAATGCTCTCTAGTTCTGCTTTTGATCTGTTTTCGTCTTTTCTGTGAACCGCCCTGAGACCTCCGGGTATAGGGCAGTATATAAATTCAATCAATCAATCAATCAATCAATCAATCTTTCATAAATACCGTTCATGTGCAGAATGTTTAGCAGTGAAAATTCAATCCACAACATTGAATTCTGTAGGAATTATTTTAAAGCTGCATTATAAAACATAATTAGCATTTTTAAAATGCAGTAACAGTTGGGCACAAAGTCACAAGCATTCTGTTGGCCAGGAAATATACATTTCTAGACTTCCTACTTTTATGGCGGGGAGAGAAATCCTATTATACAGTACAGCTGTTTAAAGTATTGAACTGCCTCACAGGTAGGCAACTGAAAAGAAAGCACAAACACACAGCCAGCTGCCTTTACAGTCACTATCAAAAACAGTATGGGTACATGTTATTTTTCCCCTCCACAGGGATAACAGTATCAGTGGGTGAGACTTGTCAGGAGAAAAGCACTGCAAGAGGGAACGATTAGAATGACTCTCTTCCCCTGGTCTTCAGCTTCAAATTGCAGCCTCAGTATATAGAACGAGGCAAAGCCTGGAAAAAGAAACACGGAACTACACATAATGTCTAGTTCTGCTCTTTGTCAGACTTGCGCAACACAAGACTTGCCACCCCGAATGTAGCCCACTGGCTACGCTGCCAAGTGCTCAACCCCCGCAACAAAAAAGCGAATTAAAAAATCCACCTGTTTTTGCAGGCAGCACAAAAGTAGGTTATTTGTGGTGAGCCACAAATACAGTTTGCATTGTAGTGCTAAGACCTGGACCAGAGAAATCTGGTTTTGAGTCCTGCTCAGCCGCTGACGATCACTAGTGGAAGTCACTAACAATAATCTTTTATAAATACCATCAATAAATATTTGTTTCTTTACCTCGAACGTATGACTTGGGTGGAGTAGCGCTATTGTACGCAAAGTGTTCCAACACTGAAGTGTCTCGTGAAAAACAAAGTAATACCTGTAAAAGCAACAACAGGAATATCAGAAATGAATAAAATCACCTTGAAGTTTGACATTAAACTGTCATTTCCTGCAAAATAAAAATACAGGCAAATAAAATGACTAGCATAGCCTCTTCATCCTCTCAGGTTGTACTGGTCACTTTGAGAAAGGTGAGTTAAATCCTTGAGTTTCTCTATAACATGCAAATTGTCTCGCCAATTCAGAGCAAGGTATATCTAATTCAGACAATAGATTTGTCCGTACTTTTACAGCAAAACTAAATGTAATGCAAGAGATTCATTATCAGATCTCCCATTTTCTTGGTTTTCTTAAAAGAAGCTAACAGAGAATCTCAAATTGCAGAAGGGGGGTTAATATTTTCCATCCATGTCTCTGTCTCTCTTTCTCTCTCTCTCACACACACCCCTGCTATTTGTCCAGCTGTGGAAAACACAGGTGAAAACAGAATTACATTTCCAGGAGTGCTTCCATCTCTTCAAAATCTAAACAAAAGAACTGGTCTTTTAGACAACTAATGCAAGTTTGAGGAGGAAACAGTTTATCTTGCCTTCATTCTGAACAACAGCCAGAACTTCACTTTTCTCTTTGTATTCACCCCAGTTGTTATAAATTAGCTTTTAATTTTTCCTATTTATTACTACTTTGTTGAGTGTACCACGTTTTGATAGTTTAGATAGGATCAAAAGCTGGTAATGAATAACGTTGGTTGTAAAGTGTGTGTTTAAGATAAAGGCCCTTTGTCATCCGAAAAAAATGTTAATCTGCAAAATAGTAAGCAGCTCAAGGAGGTAAAAGCCAGAAAATTATTATGTCCTCTGTCAGAAGGGCAGACATTTTCCCAAGACATTTTTGCTTTTGACAAATATAATTATCAAAAGGCTGCGTTTACAAAAATATTAAACAAAAAGGAGCTGTCTGAGTGGATGATGTACAGTGAAACATTGCCATGGCATTCTAGGTAGAATGAAGGCAAGATAAACTGTGTTTCCTCCTCAAAATTGCATTAGTTGTCTAAAAGAACAGTTCTTTTGTTTAGATTTTGAAGAGATGGAAGCATTCCTGGAAATCTAATTCTGTTTTCACCTGTGTTTTCCCCAGCTGGACAAATAACGGGGGGGGGGGGAAGGGAGAGGGAGAGAGACAGACGGACAGAGACATGGATGGAAAATATTAACCCCGCTTCTGCAATTTGAGGTTCCCTGCTAGCTGCTTTTAAGAAAACCAGGAAACTGGGAGATCTGATCATGGATCTCTTGCATTACATTTAATTTTGCTGTAAAGGTTTGGACAAATCTATGCAGCTGCATAGCAGACAGGAAGAAAAAGTGTATGGATCTGCATTCTACATAGAATGCTTTCAGTGCCATGGCAATGTCTCCCTGTGCATCATCCACTCAGACAGCTCCTTTTTGTTTAATATTTTTGTAAACGCAGCCTTTCGATAATTACATTTGTCAAAAGCAAAAATGTCTTGGGAAAATGTCTGCGCTTCTGACAGAGGACGTAATAATTTTCTGGCTGAGATACGGTTTTCCCCTCCTTGAGCAGCTTACTATTTTGCAGATTAACATTTTTTCAAATGACAAAGGGCCTTTATCTTAAACACACACTTTACAACCAACACTATTCATTACCAGCTTTTGATCTTATCTGAACTGTCAAAACATAGTACACTCAACAAAGTACTAATAAATAGGAAAAATTAAAAGCTAATTTATAACAACTGGGGTGAATACAAAGAGAAAAGTAAAGCTCTGGCTGTTGTTCAGAATGCAGATACACACACTTTTGCTTCCTGTCCTGTTTCCTGCCATTTACATTCTCAGCTTTCCCCAAGAACAGTGAAAGCCTTATATTTCTAGCAATAAGAAAAGCTGAGATGACCCATCCCTGGGCAGAAAGGCCTGGGCAAGAAACAAAGTCTTGCCAATTCATTAATAGCTGTTTAGCAAGAACACTGTAACTCTATTTAAACAAGAATAGTCAGGTTTTACGCCACTTTATTTATGTTTTGTGTAAATTTCATTTTACGTTAGCACTTGTTCAGATAGGGACCCATCAGAGAATATTGCAGTTCACCAAGGAAATTCAAAATGTGAAGTTTGTGTTTTATTTTGGTTTGTGTCCATTGCTATTGGCTGTTAGGTTTTACACCAATATGTAACTCCCTTGCTTTGTGATGGTCTGATGGCACCTATAAATAAATTGTAATGAGTATGGGTTGCTCGTGCGTAAGTTGCCGCCTCTCCTGGCTATGTTGCCTTGTGTAAACCTTTCTGTCTGGACAGCCCTTCACTTCGTGGCTGCCTCAGTCGCTAGCAGAATCCGTCAGTGGGCGTTTCTTAAACCTTTTCCAACATAAAAGTTGTTTGACGCCAAGTCTCCTCCTACCCTCCCTGCGCAGAAGGCTTCCGCGCAGGGAGGGCGTGGGTAGCGGAGGACCCGTGCTCTCCCTGCTGGTGTCCGGTGAAGAGTCCTGGAGCCCTCTCGCCGATTCCCCCATCTGCCCCCCTTTATCTCTGGTGTTGCGCTGATTTGCTTCCCCATCTGCTGAGCTGCCTCTCTCCCTGCTGGGCCCTTCTCCAGCATCATTTGAGAGCCTCCCCTCCGCCTCTAGCTCCGATGTCAGTTCCCTGACATCCATGAATGAATCTGAACAACAGACAGCAGCGCAAGGCTACCTCTCCTGCTAAGCAATGACTTAGTTTTAAAGAAGCTGGGGAGGATATGACTTGATCAGTCCAGACGTCACATGCAATCCATTCTCCCCAATCTCATCACTGCATTTGCTTGTATGAGACACAGAAAAACATCTGTAATGAGACATTAAGAAAACTGGGGATGCTTCCTTTGCAGCTAAAACACGCACGCACACTTTATTATATTTGTATAGTTATCAAGGTGTTTGTGCTGAATCAAACCTAATGCCGTAGTACCACAAATGTCTGTATTTAGCCAAAATGAGATGGGAAAGACAAGTCCCTTCATTCTTCCCAAAGAATGAAGCGTTGCTCCCATCAGAGCTTATACATTAAACATGTGTCCTCTGATGGTTAAGGTGAATGTGGGAAGCAGATTTGCAAAGGAGAATCAAGTAGGCAGGAGGAAGGTACCTTGGTTCTTGAGGGGAATCCGTTGCGGAAGTCCGTTTGACTTTGGAAAACATTCGAAAACCAAATCACGGGTTCTGATTGGCTGCAGGAGCTTTCTGCACTCAATCAGAAGCCGCGGAAGACTTTCAGGTTCCAAAAAATGTCCGCAAACCGGAACACTCACTTCCGGGTTTGCGGTGTTTGGGAGCCAAAACGTTCAAGTCACAAGGCGTTCGAGAACCAAGGTACGACTGTACTTGCTGTACCAGCCAATAGTTCCCTGAAAATTCCACTAGGCCGTTTTCTCCATTGGCGGGCCTGGCTAAACGAAAAAGAGCAAAAAACAACAACATGTCTACAAGGCTAGAGTAACATCTCCAGGGGGATTGGGGGGTGGGGATGCATTGAGCAACCCCTCCCACCAAATGACACTCTATTCTAAGTGATGTGTCCCTCCCCACAAGGCATATGCAGCTAGAGCCCGAGTTTTCACTTTCTAATATGAATTTTTACTTTTAAATAGCTGCCTGCTATGAGATATAGGAGTGATCACACCTACAAGAAAGTTTCATTCTGTTCATTCCTGTCCATTCGTTTGTTCTCTGCACTGGTCAGTGTTTTCGTTGATGAATTAGATGAACAAGGACACACACCATTTTTGCAAAATGGTAACTTAGTACTGCCCTGCAGAGAGCAATTTACGGGTAACTGACTTTTCTATATTTATCCCCAGGATTTTGAATGACATCAGATTATTGACTCTGACAGAGATGAGTTCGCAGCTAACTGATTCAGAAAGTGGTGTTTGAGACTTCCATCAGTCAAAACTGTCAAGCGACCACTGACTGGAAAATATTTTTCATTCTACCTGCTGCCAGTGCAGAAGCTACTTTTGATTATGAAACAGATTTTTGGATTAATTTTGCCTGCCCAGGACTGCCCAGGTCTAGAGTATGGGGGTACTTCTTGTTCCACCTTTGTCACTGGGGGCATAGGCAGCCTCGGTGGTTGAAGTGCCTTTTACCAACTGCACTGGGTACAACAGCTACAACCAGGATAACTTGACCACAGCAGTTTAGGCATTACTGCCATGCACTCTCTGTGGGGCTTCCCTTCCACTTGACCTGGAAACTGCATTTTTTTGCAGAATACAGGTGCTGACAGCTGTGGGACTCTGTCACCATGTAACACCTCTGCTCATAGATATTCACTGGTTGCCAGTTTGCTACCAAGCCAAGTTCCAGGTGTTACTGTTGGTAAAGGTTAAAAAAAGGTAAAGGACCCCTGGACGGTTAAGTCCAGTCAAAGGTGACTCTGGGGTTGCAGTGCTCATCTCGCTTTCAGGCTGAGGGAGCCGGCGTTTGTCCACAGACACCTTTCCGGGTCATGTGGCCAGCAAGACTAAACTGCTTCTGGCGCAATGGAACACTGTGATGGAAACCAGAGTGCACAAAACGCTGTTTACCTTCCTGCTGCAGTGGTACCTATTTATCTACTTGCACTGGTGTGCTTTTGAACTGCTAGGTTGGCAGGAGCTGGGACAGAGCAATGGGAGCTCACCCCGCCATGGGGATTCGAACCACTGACCTTCCGATCAGCAAGCCCAAGAGGCTCAGTGGTTTAGATCACAGCGCCACTCACGTACCAACAGTAACGTTACTGTAGGTATATAAAACTGGTAACAACTTGGGACCTGTTCAAATCAGTCTTTTAGTGTTGTGGTACCTGCACTTTGATACTCCCTGTTAATAGACATTTAGAGAAGTGCTTTTGCTGTATTTTTTTGGCACATGATCAAAACATTCTTGTTTAGGCAAGCCTATCAAAACATCTATATGGGGCCACACTGGGCTATTTTTGAGGTTCTTCCCCACATTAAGGTTGTTTTTAACTAACTTTTTTTGTATTTCTGCAAACTGCCGGCTTCCCCTGAACCTGCTAATACTTGTATATAGATGCTGCTGCTTTGACTAGATAAGGACTCGTGCTCAGATCATGAGCTTTCAATTAGTACATTAGTATTACTAGTAAAGATGAATAGGGAGGTATAAATTCTGCTGTAGATTTTTAATATTAAAAAAACAGCACCATACATATCACACACAAAACAGGAGTCCTAATTTTTGTTAATTTCTAGCTTTCAGAGGACTAAACAAATCAGTCTGTCCTCTAAGGAGGGATACATTCAGCCACTAATATATTTCACGTTGTTTTATGTAGCTATAATCGACAAAATGACAAGCCCACCCTAACAGCTGTGACTAATCAAGTTGAAAGTGCCACAAAAATGTGAAGCCTCCCCCATGACATTTATGTAGACACTGCAATCAAATACAAATTAGGAAATTTGCAAATGTAATAAGCTTCCATTTAAGGAGACTAAAAAGAAACAATATATGCAAGTCCATACAAATTAGTTGGCTCTCCTTTACTAGAAGCAAAGGTAATAAATTACGGATGCTTGTTTACTTAAGACTAGCACTTCCCCATCCCAAGTGTTCAAGGTCGGAAACAGTATTGTATAAATATAAGAATACAACATTTCCTGTGCAGAGCTTTAGGACAAGAGACTGCTTAATACTATTATATTTAAGTGGTATTTACCTTTTAAACATTTTTTTCTGGGAGTTCCTCCCAAAACTCTTATCTCACACCTTTCTCAAAACTCACCTTTTCTTTGCCTTTTAATCTCCATCTCCAGCTGTAACGTGGTTTTAGCACATCTAACTGCATTTGATCACATTTTTTACCCTCCCATTTCCCTTCCTTCTTTCTGTTTATGCCATCAGTGACAAAATCTAGGTTGCAAGGTCCTTGGGGTAGTCCACCAACCCCTTTTGCTCATGTCATTCTGTTTGGCACCATATATATCTGTAGCTCTCTATATAAATCATGACCAACAATACTACTTTTCTCCTGCAAGTCCCAAAGGGCTCCAATGTGGACATGGGTTCGGCATGCGGAATCTGCCCCAGTATCTTTCAATATCTCTCCACAGTTGCTCTTAATAAGCTAGATAGCTTAGGGCTCATCCATACTGTTGTTTAATGTGGATAGCAAGTGGCCGCCGAGACCATGTAACACAGGTCCTGAAAGACCTACATTGGCTCCTGGTACGTTTCTGAGCACAATTCAAAGTTTTGGTGCTGACCTTTAAAGCCCTAAACGGCCTCGGTCCAGTATATCTGAAGGAGCATCTCCACCCCCATCATTCAGCACAGACACTGAGGTCCAGCTTCGATGTCAAACAGATAAACAACTATCTGACTTTTAGAAAACACCTGAAGACAGGCCTGTTTAGGGAAGTTTTAAATATTTGATGTTTTATCGTGTTTTTAATATTCTGTTGGAAGCCACCCAAAGTGGCTGAAGAAACCCAGCCAGATGGGTGGGGTATAAATAAATTAAAATTATTATTATGTTATCATTCCTGTACCTCCATTAATTCTCAGCTGCACACATCACATTCTCTTACAAATTACTGCCTTTCCACTTTCCGCTCCCTCAGTCTGGCTTTTCTTATACCAGGATACACTGAAGAAGAGAGGGTATGAGAAAATTCACAGTGTTCTGAAAGAGTATGCTGTATGGCCAACGGAAAATCAATAGAGGTCAAGAATTACTGCTATAAGTATTCGCCAGTGCACATGAACGGACAGCACAGAAAAATCTAGCATTTCAAAGTGCAACCCTTCCCAGGGGATTCAATTTTCAGAGAGTCTTAGATCCTTTTCAGCTAGGGCTAACTTAGTGAAACCAGTCATCCAAACATTGTGGCTGCACAAAACGACAATTTGAATAGGAGTTTGACTTAGCCTGCTAGTTATCTTTAACTTTGCTGGCTGAAGGTTGTTTATGGTAAAAGTTGGCCATGCACACGCATAGCTGAATGATTCTGGACAGTGACTGATGGATCCATTCAACTGAGGCACTAAGTCATCCAGGCTGGAATCGTATACAGTGGTACCTCGCAAGACGAATGCCTCGCAAGACGGAAAACTCGCAAAACGAAAGGGTTTTTGGTTTTTTGAGTTGCTTCGCAAGACGATTTTCCCTATGGGCTTGCTTCGCAAGATGGAAACGTCTTGCAAGTTTGATTCCTTTTTCTTAAAACCGTTAATACAGTTGCGACTTGACTTCGAGGAGCAACTCATAGCACGCGGTGTGGTAGCCTTTTTTGAGGTTTTTGAAGACTTTGGTGATTTTTGAAGCTTTTCCAAAACTTTTCCGACACCGTGCTTCGCAAGACGAAAAAAACCGCAAGACGAAAAAGCTCGCGGAACGAATTAATTTCGTCTTGCGAGGCACCACTGTACGCACCAAAGGCCCACCAAACATAGTAGAACTTCTGAGTAGGCATGCATAGAATTCCGCTGCTAGTCAGCTTAGTGCAACTGTAATTCACTACCAGTTTTACTGGGCTTAAAAGATACCTGGAACAAATTGTACCTAATTTGCGTGTCACTTTTTTCCACTGACAGGCTGCTGCAATAACAGTAATTACTTACCTGATATAAATAATCCTCAAACACGAAGTAGTAGTCATCATTGCTGGCTGTCAGCTTCACATCCTGCAAATGAAAAACCATAAAAACTTGAAGCTTGAGAAGTATATTTTCCAGCTGGGAAGCTCCTGCGATGCATTAGCATAACAAGATATTATTGTTGTCATGCTACAGAGTTAATAACTATTCACTCCACCTGTTGTCAACTTCACATTTCCTGCACACAGAAAAAAATCTATTAGTAACATCATAACACTAGGCACTGATATCCTTATGCTATATTTGATCACGTCACTTCTAATAAGTTTTCATCAATGGGAGTTTCCCCACTCTTTCAATGGGAGAGGGAATGCAAGTTATCTCCCAATTAACATTTTAACTGCATTCCACAGTCATCAAAGAACTGAAAAACTAATCATGCATCCCTTTGAGAGTTCTAGGTTTGTATTTCTCAGACAATAAGCTTTCCTTTGCCATGGCACGTGGCAATCTCTCCGAGAACTGAGGAATGGTTTTGAAGAAGTTTGAGACAATGCATGGAATCAAAGAAGTTTAGAGTTGGAAGGGACCCGAGGGTCATCTAGTCCAGACCCCTGCAATGCCATACCAAAAATGCTTGCAGATCCCCGCTGAAAAACAACAGTAAAACTATGCAATTCTAAAACAGCTTGCATTTGTATATGCCCCTTCCTATCACACCTGACACACGAAGAGGCCAAGGAATCTGTTCTTGGTGGTTTGTAAATTGTTACAGTGTCTGTGTCTTACAGTGTCTAATTTATATATACATATATACATACATACACATATATATATATATATATATATATATATATATATATATATGTGTGTGTGTGTGTGTATGTATGTATGTATATGTATGTATATGTGTGTACAGTGGTACCTCGGGTTACATACGCTTCAGATTACATATGCTTCAGGTTACAGACTCCGCTAACCCAGAAATAGTACCTCAGGTTAAGAACTCTGCTTCAGGATGAGAACAGAAATTGTGCTCCAGCAGCACAGCAGCAGCAGGAGGCCCCATTAGCTAAAGTGGTGCTTCAGGTTAAGAACAGTTTCAGGTTAAGAACGGACCTCCGGAACAAATTAAGTACTTAACCCGAGGTACCACTGTGTGTGTGTGTGTGTATACATATGTGTTTATGTGTGTGTGTGTGTGTGTGTGTGTGTGTGTGTGTGTGCTGAATAAAATAGCTGCACAAACCTATGATCCTGATGCCATTTCTCTGGAAAATCACAGGAAACCACCTAAATAGTCTGAGCCAGTGAATTGTGAAGATACATCACAGTTTGTTCTAATGTAACACTGCTGTGGCAGAATGTCACACTGGCACAACACCACCAGAGACACAAAAAAGGAGCATATCAGGGGAGGAGTCAGACTCAGAAAATTTATATCCCATCCCAAAGTAATATGATAGAAAAAGAGATGATCTACATTAAAACACTCTGAACTTAGCCGAGAGCCAAAAACCATTTCCCCCCCTCTATTCACCATGCTTTTCCTATCCACTCAGGACAAAATTACAGATGTCTGACTAACAGCCAAAGTAGACAATGTATAGGAGTTCATGGATGCTGTTATTGTTGGTTGTAAATTAAGGCAGGTTTTGCATTTTAAAAAAGTAGCTTCAGAAGGAGTCTTATGAATCAGGGCTGTATTGAAGGATGACGTTTAAGACAGACCCTCTCTCTATTCAACCCCAAATCCAAATCTTCTCACATGCTTTAAGCAATCGACTCTCAACTTCCATTTCCTCCTGAGAAAGCTGTGCATATAATTGTTACACTGGAAGAGTTCAGCCAACACTGAGAAATTTTCTGAATGTCTTCTCTCCGCATCAGAAAAATCCGTCCACTTCGCAGAAGTTTCTCCACCATTTATGGACGTGGCCGACCAACCCACCCGCAAACGCCGTGAAAAAGGAGAGTGTGAAGGATGCAAAATATTGGCCAGGCTGCCACCACACTTGCAAGATAACAACAACTTGCAATAGCGGCATGGGGGGGGGGAGCCTAAGGGAAAAATGGAAGAAGCTGGGCTAATGCCACTACTAATAGTGACCCAAAAAGGAAGCTTGCCTTGTTCTTCCTTTTCCTTTCCAAAATAATTCAACGGGGGCGGGGGGAGCAGCAGAACTATTAACTATTGCACTGAACCACTGCAGATATACCGTATTTTTCGCTCTATAGGACGCACTTTTTCCCTTCCAAAAATGAAGGGGAAGTGTGTGTGCATCCTATGGAGCGAATGCAGGCTTTCGCTGAAGCCTGGAGAGCGAGAGGGGTCAGTGCACACCGACCCCTCTCGCTCTCCAGGCTTCAGGAAGCTATCCGCAAGCCTTGGGAGCCCAGCAGGAGTTCCCGCCGGGCTCCCAAGGCTTGTGGATGGCAGCCTGTGGGCTTTTCAGGGAGGTGGGGGAATTCCCCCACCTCCTAGAAAAGCCAATAGAAGCCGCGCAGCCCCTTTAAAGAGTGCACGGCTTCTGTGGGAGGTGGGGAATACTCCCAGAGCTTGTCGGGGCTGGTGGGGGAAGCCCGGGCTTCCCCCACCAGCTCCGATAAGCTTCTGAGCAGCTCTGGGGTAGCCCGCGAAGCCTCCGCAGGCCAGCAGCGAGCCTTCATCCCGCTGCCCTGCGGAGGCGCTCTTGGGGGCTTTTCCCCTAGGAGGGAGACGGGCAGCCCATCACTGACTGGCTGCCCTTCTCCCTCCTCGGGGAAAAGCCCCCAAGAGCCACACACACACTCCACGCGGCTTGTGAAAGGGATCGCTGAGCAGAGCCTGGGATGCATACAGGCTCTGCTCAGCGCTCCCTTTAAATAATTTTTTTTCTTGAATTCCCCCCCCCCCCTAAAAATTAGGTGCGCCCTATAGTCCGGTGCGCCCTATGGAGCGAAAAATACGGTACTTCAGATACATGCAATTTTAGATGAAATCTTTCACAAACTATAAGTTATTTTTCATCTGAAAGTAATCAAATAGAGATTCTGAAACTTTGGTCAGACAGCAAATAGATACCGATAGAGAGACAAACCTTCTAAATGGAGATCATTATCCCAGTTGGTATCTGCATTGGGCAAATTGCTTCGGGATGCCTCATGGAAAGAGACTCATAAGTAAAAAGTGATGATGATGATGATACAAACAACAACAGCAACAGATAGTGATATATAAATTAGAAATACTCACTTTATAAATCAAATTGTCCACCAAAAGGTCATGCTGAATCACATTAGACTTCAGTTGTTCATAGTACAAAACATCCTAGAACGAAATAATGCTAAATATTATTCGTTGTGTGAGACTTAAAACAAATGACACACTTCATGGTCGTGTTTTGCTTATTTTAATACCATATGTTGGTAATGGAGCTTAAAAAGCTTAAAAAGAAGGATATCAGGACACAATCGGAAAGATACTGTTGAGTATATCCCATTAAAATAAATGGGATATAATTTGCACATAAGTCGATCAAAAACTAAAATCTTTTTCAAACATCCAAATATGGTACTTCCTCAAGTCGCTGCCTTCCGCACAACCAGGCAATGAAAACTATCAAGTCTTCATGAAGTGTGGTAACTCTAGTAACCTATTCCTCCTGGAGCCAAAGGACAATATAAAATTGCTTTACAAAGAAAAAAAATATTTATTTCATATTTTATTTCAAGATGCATTTAATTAGGATGCTATGTGTTAAGCTCTATATTGTTTTAATGTGCTATTGATAGTTTTGGATCGGTATAATGGTTTTATGATCACTGCAGATCGTCACAGCAGCCACGAAATTAAAAGACGCCTGCTTCTTGGGAGAAAAGCAGTGACAAACCTAGACAGCATCTTAAAAAGGAGAGACATCACCTTGCCAACAAAGGCCTGTATAGTAAAAGCTATGGCTTTCCCAGTAGTGATGTATGGAAGTGAAAGCTGGACCATAAAGAAGGCTGATCACCAAAGAATTGATGCTTTTGAATTATGGAGCTGAAGGAGACTCTTGCGAGTCTTGAGATTTTTTTTGCTCCCCCCCCCCTTTTTTCTAAGCCGCTAATAGCCTTTTAGCCGCTAAGCCACTAAGCCTTTAATAGCCGCTAAACCGCTAATAGCGCTAATCTGCTAATAGGGTTGCTTCGCAAGACGAAAAATCCGCTAGACGAAGAGACTCGCGGAACGGATTAATTTCGTCTTGCGAGGCACCACTGTATTTTCTAAATATTCTCAGTTGAATGAATGAATGAATCTTTATTGCTAAAAGCTACAAGCCATCACAATTGGTCACAATGCGTAGGATACAAATAATTGATTTAAAACTGAACAACAGCAGCAGCAGCAGCAGCGAAGCAAACATGCAAAAATGCAAAAATCATTCTTGCATAAGTTAAGCACTCCACGTCTCACACTCCCCCTTATGATACTTGTCTTGATGCCTAGCTCTCAACTTACTTGCAGCCAAGGCAAATTTTGCAACCCGTGTAGTAATAAATGCATTATTGCCAGCCAGCAAAATAGAGATTTTCTAAATAACTAATTATTATTTTTTACGTGAGCCACCCTGGAGGGCTTTGCTCTGAAAGTCAGCATACATTGGGGTAGCAATCCATCCATCCAGCCATCAATAATATTCTAAGTATACAACAGAAGAGGGTGATTCTTAAAGAGCCTATAAAATAAAACTGCAGGGGAAAAGGAATTCTGCTAAATTCATGAGGCAAGAAACTGGAGGGCAACAGTTAACAATTTTCCCCAAGAACGTCAGTGGTATTCCTCTAAATAATTTATGCAAAGCTATAGCCTCTTCACAAACATAGCTGGCTAGAAGCAGATTCTAGCCAAGCAAAACCTAGAAGCAGAGATACAGCCATAAACACAGCTCACATGGATCCTATCAGGGAGACAGAAGCCACAGCTGGAAGAATACAATTAATGACTGGGCATACAAATGTCATGATGGCTAACATAGTTTTGGAGGTGGTCACTGCAAGCACTTTGGCATAAAAGGGGGGGGGAGAGAAAGATAATAGTAACTTGGTTCTCCTTTTAAGGCAGCATATGAAAATATAATAGTTGTAAAATATACACATCACAACTGTGTTTATTGTATTAAATTATCTGCTTTTTCCATAAACACATTTTGTTCTATTTTAGGATTTTGAAGTTGATGATAGGCAATTGCACATCATTCCACAGATGGAAGAAGATGTAAAAAATTCAACAGTGCAAAGGACAAGACTTAATGATGAAAAGGAATGTGAACTAGATACATTCAGGATATATATAAATAATCTACTTATCAGGTATACAAGCCTTTCTTCCAAACACAGTGTCCTGCCCATAGAATGGGGGTTTGTATAAGTAGAATACAAGTTACGTATGTTGAACTATGAAGAACTGATCTCCTGTTTTTGAAATTTAAAAAGTTTTCACATGAATGTGAAAGTGGGTTTGTTATTTATATAGCATATTACGTGAATAAGCAACACTATGTCGGTGCCCTCTAGACATGGTTTAATTTACCAGTTAAAAAATAAAATAAAGTTCCAAGAATGGGCGGCGGTGAGTCGGTGGGTGTTATGGCAACCCTGCCTTAACGGGAAAGAGCCAAGATCCAAAATATGAACCTGACCACGGGGAGGAAAAAATACTACGTAATATTATACAAGCTTCATAATTCAGAACAATATATACATACTACAATGGTAGGAATGTTGCAAAAAAACCAAAAACACCAGCATCTTTGTGGCAAGTTCTACCTCTCTCAGCATAGCGTCTATAACTACGGGCATTTATTTTGTGCACTGGGGGGCTATTACACCGACAGCTTCCGAGGCCCCATTCCATGACACTGGCCATATTTGGTTTGCAAAGTCCACTTTCCTTACTAGAAATCCCAAACCTACCAACTTGGAGTCAGGTGCAGAATAATGGATGGGTGGAGGAAAAGCAAAATGCTAATTATTGGGTTAGGGGGCATAACCAATTATCAGCTGCTGATGAAATCACACAAGTGAAATACTTCGGAGAAGGTCTAATGTGTGTGTACTTTTAACCAGTCAATATACTAAGCTGCCTTATATGAGTTATAGAGAGCGGGTGGCGCTGTGATCTAATCCACTGAGCCTCTTGGGCTTGCCGATCAGAAGGTTGGTGGTTCAAATCCCCGTGATGGGGTGAGCTCCCGTTGCTCCGTCCCAGCTCCTGCCAACCTAGCAGTTTGAAATCATGCCAGTGCAACTAGATAAATAGGTACCTCTGCGGCGGGAAGGTAAACGGCATTTCCATGCGCTCTGGTTTGCGTCACGGTGTTCCGCCAGAAGCGGTTTAGTCCTGCTGGCCACATAACCCAGAAATCTGTCTGTGGACAAACTTCGGCTCCCTCGGCCTGAAAGCAAGCTGAATGCAGCAACCCCATAGTCACCTTTGACTGGACTTAATTGTCCAGGGGTCCTTTAAAAGGTAAAGGTAAAGGACCTCTGAAAGTTAAGTCACTCTGAGGTTGCACCGCTCATCTTGCTTTACAGGCTGAGGGAGCCGGCGTTTGTCCACAGACAGTTTTTCCGGGTCATGTGGCCAGCATGACTAAGCCACACCGAAACCAGAGCAGTGCATGGAAACACCGTTTACCTTCCCGCCAGACCAGTACCTATTTATCTACTTGCACTTTTGGTGTGTTTTCAAATTGCTAGGTTGGCAATGGGAGCTCACTTGCCGATCAGAAGGTCGCAGGGACTCGAACCGCTGACTTTCTTATCGGCAAGCCCAAGAGGCTCAGTGGTTTAGACCACAGTGCCACCTGCATCGCAACCCCATAGTCACCTTTGACTGGACGCAATTGTCCAGAGGTCCTTTATCTTTACCTATATGAGTTACATCATTGGTCCATTCAATTCATCGCTGACTGACAACAGTTCTCTTAAGCAAGTCATTCCAATAAAACTACAATATAATTTCCTTCCTGGACTCATAATCTTTCAATTCTTGATATATTAATTTTTTTAAAAAATTGAATAGGCTGTCCCACTTTTCAGTTAACATAGAATCACTGGGGAGCTTTACTCTTGCAATGGCACTGTTGTACAAAAGGAATGCTGGCCCAAAAACTAAAACTTTTCCCTGAAATCTTTAAAAAACCCAAACGCACACCTTAATTTGTTTCCCAAAAATAACATAAAATAATGCCAGGAGTTTCACAGTTTCAATGTCACTTTTGGTGGCATCATGTGGCAAAAGGCAAACAAAAAAGTTATATAAATATTTATTATCTGCTTATCACACGAAGGACAGCTTTTATTATTAATTTCAAACTGAAGAAGCACAGCAAACACAATTATAAATAAATTAGAGTATAGATAAATAATAAATAAATTAGAGTATAGAAGGAAGTCCTTCATGGTGACTAGTCAGTCTATAGTACAGTAGAAATACAAATCTATTCTCATCAGGTTTCCAGAAACTAAATTTGAATTATTCATTACCATGACAAATATCTTGTTATACTTTGTGTGTTTTCAATAATTTAAAGCTCCGTGAAATTCAGTTATAGCAGATCCATAGCTCCTTCGCTTGAATTCTACTTTTCACTGAAACTAAAATAAAAATAAAAATAGGGGCATCCTCTCCGAAAATAAAATAGATATTCTTAATGAAAACACACGCAATGATATCACCATTGCTCAACAGCTTCCCTTACTGGGCTGGCCGAGGTATCCCAAATGTGGTGTTGGAGTAATCCCGAACAATAATTTCAACATCCATGCCAAGCTGAGGCTGCTGTTGGATTAGCTCGGGATTTCATGGCTCCATGGCAACCATAGGACCATCTCAGATTGTTCCCGGCTGAATGCACAGAGCACGACATACCCATGATCTGGTCTTTGCTTCAAGTGGGGCAGGAGGTAATCTGGAAATAGAGGGGTCTCTGGGGATCCACTGTCATGGTCAGACCACTCCTGGCCACAGAGGTCACGTGGGCCTCTGGCGACAGAGGCAGATCAAGGAGGATGCCAGACTGTGTACCTGCTCCTTTGGAGAATACAGCTCCATCCAGTTGACCAATCTCCTAGACACAGGAACCACATACCCGCAAGGCCATTGCCTTTACACCATTGCTATTTGTCTTCTGAAAACAAGATGAAGTTATCTTTTTAACCAACTGGCATGTATTGATGTTTTTAATTATGTGTTATGGATATTTATGAGCTGATATTCTACAGCGAGGGATGCGGGTGGCGCTGTGGGTTAAACCACAGAGCCTAGGACTTGCCAATCAGAAGGTCAGCGGTTCGAATCCCCGTGACGGGGTGAGCTCCCGTTGTTCGGTCCCTGCTCCTGCCAACCTAGCAGTTCGAAAGCACGTCAAAGTGCAAGTAGATAAATAGGTACCCCTCTGGTGGGAAGGTAAATGGCGTTTCCGTGCACTGCTCTGGTTCTCCAGAAGCGGCTTAGTCATGCTGGCCACATGACCCGGAAGCTGTACACCTGCTCCCATGGCCAATAAAGCGAGATGAGCGCCGCAACCCCAGAGTCGGCCATGACTGGACCTAATGGTCAGGGGTCCATTTACCTTTTATTCTACAGCCATACCTCGTGTTATGTTTGCTTCACGTTGCGGCTTTTCAGGTTACGAATGCGGCAAACCCGGAAGTACACTTCTGGGTTCGCCACATGCGCAGAAGTGATCTGCACGCTTTGCGCATGTGTAGAAGCACTCTATCGCGCTTCGTGCATGCGTAGTAGCGGCGCTCTACTTACGGACTTTTCAGGATGCAAACGGCACCCCAAAATGGATCGGGTTCATAAGTAGATGTACCACTGTATTTTGTATTATGTAAGCCAAATTGATACACTTTATGTGTGGCTTGTAAATATTTATAAAATAGATACATCTGGGAAATTTGGCAAGGGGTACGACTGGATAAACGGTTGCTTCTAGCAAATAAATCATCCTGACTATTGTACAAAAATGATATATAATGAATTGAAAAGGATGTTTAAAATAACATTTGTAAAAAAACAAAACCCAGAAGCTTTTCTTTTGGGAATTATAGGGATAGAACGACCTAAACTGTATAGAAACTTATTCATTTATCCAACTACAGCCGCAATAATGTTACTTGCCCCAAATTGGAAAGAAGCAGAAGTCCCAGCAAAGGAAGAACCGATACAAAAACTTATGGAATATGCAGAAATGGCAAAACTTACCGGAAGAATAAGAAAACAAGATAACAAACTTTTTTAAAAAAAGAATGCAAATGGTTTATTGAATATTTACAGATAAACTGTAAACAGATAAGAACACTGGCAGGATTATTGAAATAACCTGCAGTTTTATAAGAGTATATATTTAACGTAGAGGAATAAATGAACAAATTAAGTTAGTTGGGATACGCAGAAGATATTAAAAACAAATTTAAGGAACTGCAGAAAGAGGGGGAAGGAAGTCAAGTTTTGAAATGTTCAAAATGATTGTTAAATTAATGAAATGTAAAAATCTGAAAAGCATAAATAAAATTTAAAAATAAAATGTGTCTATTTTAACAACACACTATTTGTTGTGGTTATTTTTATCTCATAATAGCCGCAGAAGGGGAGACTGCTTTCAACCACCCTGCCTCAAAGCTGCCCTAGTGAGCATCAATTCTTCGCGAGACAGTATGACCTGAAATCTGAAAGGAACAAATCAGAGAGTGCTCCTTATTCTAGGCATTCAGTCATACCTAACAACATAATATGCACTTTTAGTGTTTTCCTATCAGGCTAAGATTTGCAATACTGCCAGCAGGTGTACATGCACAAACTCCCTGAAATGCTATAATTCTTTGAGAACAATACATCTGGTGCTTTCAGTGTTCTGTTGTTAATTTCAGTGACAAACTGACTGGTTCAACTGAATATTGAGCTTCTTGGAATATGGACACATTTTCTATTATTAGACATAGAGAAAAAGCCTAATAGATTCTAGAGCTCCATGTGATTTTAATATACATACGGTACTTCCTGCCTTTCAAATACATCACCAACGTGTCCTATGAACTTGTGTTCATATATCCAAAGAAGTCTGTAGCATAAGTACGTTAGCCTTTTGCTTATTTTTATATTGTGCCCCTGTAAACAACCTATTTGTATAATGTTGTTCTAAACTGCAAATTGGCATCTGTACCTAAACTTCGTGGAACACAAATTGGTTCAAATTAGATGTTCTCCTCTGAAATGAGTGTATTTGAATGTTCACACACTTCTCCCAAAAAGCTTCTGCTGTACCTTTCAGTGTCTTAACAAAATCTATTTCTCTAAGTAAGATTTAGAGGTTCAAAAAGTCTTCAGTTTGTAAATACGGAGAAGGAAACTGACATACATTAACAAAGAAACAGTAGCTCAGCCATTTAGTCAGTTACAAATGGCACAAGGGAGAATTCTAGGACCAAAACTTAACAGTACGGCTGAATTAGAAAGACATACTTTCTGATTTAACTGCTTCTAAAAATTACACTATAAGTATATATTTTTACTTGTGCAATAAATATACATATCTATGACAGTCAAAATTACCATACTAAAATATACTTGATAGCCATAGCTAGTGTGATTTGAATATTTTAGGATGGGGAGGGGAGTTGAGTAAGTGAAAGAGTTTTGTAAAATTATGCAAGCAGTGACTCACCCCTTATCAAAATACTAGAATCCAGGTCAGTCAATAAAGCGGAATGGTGGAAGATTCAGGAGAGATTAAACAAAATATTTCTTTCTCTGGCTCCCTCAAGATGTGGTGACACAGTTTAGGAGGTTTTCAAGGGGCATTAGAAAAAGTCATGGAGGATAAGTCGATCAAGGTCATGGTAGCTATATGCTTCTGCGAGGATCACAGATCCTCTGATTGCCAATTGCTGGAAAACACAAGCAGGAGTCTACTGCTACCCCCATGTCTTGATTTTGAGGTTCCCATTGGCTTCTGGTTATCTCCTGTGGGAAACAGACTGATGGGATTAGAAAGGGTTTTGGTCTTAATCCAAAGAGATTCTTCTTGTGTTATCAGATTAGCCATGCCAGAAATTCTCAAACTATGACCCACTGGAGGTATGCAAGTTCCATTCAGTAGTCTGTGAAAAGGCTTCACAGTACAGTCGTACCTTGGAAGTCGAACGGAATCCGTTCCGGAAGTCCATTCGACTTCCAAAACATTTGGAAACCAAAGCGTGGCTTCTGATTGGCTGCGGGAAGCTCCTGCAGCCAATCAGAAGCAGTGGAAGCCCGTTGGACGTTCGGCTTCCAAAAATAGTTCACAAACCGGAACAGTCACTTCTGGGTTTGCGGCATTCATGAGCCAAAACGTTCGAGAACTAAGCTGTTCAAAAACCTAGGTACGACTGTAGTTGAGAATATCTTCATCCCATCTGACACAATTTATTTTTTAAAATCAGAGCAAGATTATCAAACAGGCTAAGGCGGCTTTAGTCTTGGGGAAACCTTTAGTCAAAACCCTAGGTACGACTGTAGTTGAGAATATCTTCATCCCATCTGACACAATTTATTTTTTAAAATCAGAGCAAGATTATCAAACAGGCTAAGGCGGCTTTAGTCTTGGGGAAACCTTTAGTCAAAACCCTAGGTACGACTGTAGTTGAGAATATCTTCATCCCATCTGACACAATTTATTTTTTAAAATCAGAGCAAGATTATCAAACAGGCTAAGGCGGCTTTAGTCTTGGGGAAATGATCTTCATAATATAAATGCTGGAACAGTTGACTTATTTCCCCTAAAAGACTATGGTAACCTAGATGTGTACTTTAATACGTTCAGCAAAGAAAAAAAAATATATTACATGGCCTAGACTCTGGCAATTTTCAACTGGTCCACAGAAAAAACAGTTTGCGAGCTGACATACTGGGTTTTGGGTGTTTCACATTGACTTACAATGACTCCACCATAACCGTTAGCTCCCTACCCCGTAACATTTCTTGCTATGGGCAAGGTTCATACTTGGTTGCTTGTCTACACAACACTGTAAACAGCTTCTAGCTATGATTGGCAAGATTAAGTAAGGGCAGATCATCTGATAAGACAGAACTGCATGGCAGTGAGCTAGGGCACTGTTGGAGCAGTTTCAAGTAGTTGCTGTGTGGCAGTCCGAACTGACCATTTCTTTAGATATTTTACTTGACAAATTAAGACAAAAATACCACAAATATGGTACCACTAGTGTGGTATGTAGTGAAGTCAGCCAATTACAATTAATCTCTCTCATCTGTTTACTATTAGAAAAGAGGAAATAAGCAAGGGTTTAACTGTCAGAATAATTTGGAACAATTCAGAGTTAATTAGCCATCACAACATTGGTACAATGTTTTTCATTATGACAAAAGCAGCGCTTTCTCTTTCAACAATGTATAATCCATTACTTCTCGGATTATTTATTCTTGATGTATGGTGTAAGTATATGCACCAAAAAGCCAAACATTTTCCCCTAAGCTTAGCAAAATCTTTTCCAATAGTGCTTTTAAAATACTGAAGTCTGTTTTCATCGTTAGATACAGCTATCAGCTTATTGTCAACCCACTCCCAATCATATATAACAAGGAATAATATAAATTCTTTCTCTCTCTCATGCACCCATGCATGCCACTTATTCATCATCTGTCCGTCCCTTACAGTACTCTTAATTTCAATTAACTGAAAATAATATCTTCATATCTACAGTATCAAGCATGTAGCACGATACTCTGACTAATAAAGGCTAATAAAGTCATGATCTCTTTAGCTAGGCTGTGTTGAGCATTTTAAAGAAAAATTAAGGCAACGTTTACTGCAGCACAGAGGTAGAGCAGCACATCAACCAAATAGTAAACATAAAGCAAAATGAGCAAACGTAAAGTAAAATGAGCAAACCAATTAAATATATGGTCATGTTGTGCTGATGCCTGATTATCGTCTTCCAAAGAAACTACTCTATTCCGAACTTAAAAATGGAAAGTGTAATGCTGGTGGCTCAACAAAAGAGGTTTAAAGACTCTCTCCAGGCAAATCTAAAAAAATTGTAGTATAAACACCGACAACTGGGAAACACTGGCCTGGGAGCGCTCCAATCGGAGAACAGCCTTTACCAAAGGTGCCATGGGTTTTGAAGATGCTCAAACTCAGGGCGAAAGGGAGAAACGCGCTAAGAGGAAGGCATGCTTGCCAAACCCTCACTGTGATCAACTCTCACCTGAAAACCTCTGTCCCCACTGTGGAAGGATGTGTGGATCCAGAAGTGGCCTCCACAGCCACTTACAGACTCACTGTTAAAACTGTGTTTATGGAAGACATCTTACTAGGCTACGAGTGATTGCCAAAGAAGAAGAAGATACAAACACACACACACACACACGAAACAGAATAGGCAAGAAGGGGAGTTGTGTGGCTTATCAGTAATGATGTCACAGGCCCTACCCGATAGCTGAATGTGATACTTATGCCACTGCCTAATGTGTGCAGGGAGGCCGCGTGAGTACAGGAACATATGAGGAAGACCTGCACATATTCAAAAGCAGAAGGAAGCAGCTACCCCACAGTGCTGTAGAAAGAAAGGAAAGAAGACCTATGGAGAAGCCCATTTCCAATAGGAAGAAGGCGTGATGTGGCAAGAAGGCTCGGGAAATTATCTGGAGCAGTAGAGGAAGAAAGCAAGGCAAATGAATAGAGGCACAGGCTAGGTGGCATGTTCAGAAAAAATACTGAAACAAAAAGTTGGGCAGCAGAGACAAGAACAGAAGCTGAAAAAGTATTGGGGAGGCAAGAGAAGTGGTGTTACTCCAGAGGGGAGGTCATTTATGTCATTCCATGGCATGCCAATTTTTCACAGCAAGGAATAGGTTTCTCTTATTTGAAATGTTCAACTTACAGTGGTACCTCAGGTTAAGTACTTAATTCGTTCAGGAGGTCCGTTCTAAACCTGAAACTGTTCTTAACCTGAAGCACCACTTTAGCTAATGGGGTCTCCCGCTGCCGCCGCGCCACCAGAGCACAATTTCTGTTCTCATCCTGAAGCAAAGTTCTTAACCTGAAGCACTATTTCTGGGTTAGCGGAGTCTGTAACCTGACGCGTATGTAACCCGAGGTACCACTGTACACAGTTCTACATACACACAGACATAATTTTATTTGTATGCTGCCTTTCCAAAGTTCAAACTATGCTCAAGATGGCTTACAACATGGAAACAATGCATAAAAACAACAAAACAAAAGTCATAAACACTAAATAAAACATTAAAAAAATACAAAACCAAACTGAATAATTTCTATGCAATCGCAACAAAATCTAAAATAAATATACAAAAACAAACAAACGGCAGCAAGGTCTGTGACTTTTGTAGAGACAGGACACACATGGAAAGCGTAACACAGCAGCCGTGGTCTATGGGGAGAGAGGCACGGGGGCAGCAAAAGCAGTCTCAGCATCCTTGCAGAGCCTCTGCACTTGTGAGGATGGGAATGAGGCAGGGCATAGTCATGGGAGCTCTAGGAAGTGGATGAGCACTTGCAGGGCTGCCACGCCAACTTCACAGTACAGTAATATGTGGTCCAACCGTCTTCCGTGCTTGCAATGGCAGGGTGCCCTTAAACCTTCCAGACTGAACTACGCGGTGATAAAAATCAACTGGGTCATCCGCTCTGCGATTATACGTCTTGGCGGCCGAGTGGTTCACCATGTGGACATCAAACCCAGCAGGGTAGAATTATTCAGACCTGACGGGGTGGACCTGACCACCTTAGGGAATGAACTCTGGTTGGATGGTATCAGGAGTTGCCTGCAGGATTGGTTGTCAGGATGCTGAGGGTTTTTTTTTTCAGCTGTAGGTTGTCTTGGTGGCGAGACCGCAATATCATGGTCTCGGGTAGTGGTTTTAGGCCTTGGGCGGAATCTTTTCATCTATCATTCCTAAAGGGGGGCATGCAGTGGTCACACACACACACACCGCGGTGGTATTTCAGGGTTCCCGTTTAAAGGGTTTTGTGTGAAGGGAGTCACTGGCCGTAAGGTGATAGCTTGTCAATAAACCAGTTCTGCGGGGGGGGGGGGGGTCGCTGTGTAAATACTGTATTTTTTGCTCTATAAGACTCACTTTTTCCCTCCTAAAAAGTAAGGGGAAATGTGTGTGCGTCTTATGGAGTGAATGCAGGCTGCGCAGCTATCCAGAAGCCAGAACAGCAAGAGGAATTGCTGCTTTCGCTGCGTGGCGATCCCTCTTGTTGTTCTGGCTTCTGAGATTCAGAATATTTTTTTCTTGTTTTCCTCCTCCAAAAACTAGGTGCGTCTTATCGTCTGGTGCGTCTTATAGAGCAAAAAATGTGTTTTGCAGTGCCCCCTCTGATCCGATTAACCCTGCTGTGCCTCAGTCCTGAGGGATCTGAGAGGGATACACGCCCAATGCCTAAGCCAAGGTTTCCTACATTTGAAACTGATAATAAAGTTGTGGCCATTTTAAATCCCAATACACGTTGTCATGTGTGTTTCGTTGCTCTCAGGCTGTCGCTCGGGGGCGCAGGGGTCTCCATCTGGGCATGCAAAATAAACTAGGGAAGGGAGGTTCAGATTTAAAAAGTCAGAAAAACACTGTTAAATGAGCACAAATACCCTTGTGTGACTTTGTGCACAATAAACCAAAACTAGCATCACGCTTAATAACGAAGCCAAACGTTATTTATAATTTAGCTATTGGGTATGTAGCTGCTGCAAGTCTACATTTTTACTACACTTTTGCTACTTACCTCGGGTTGACTGGAAACGTTCAGAATCAGGGCCCACAACTCGGCTCGTAGCAAATTTGGACATCCCTGCCGGACATACTGTTGAGCTGCTGCACTATCCTGCTCCATTAAAACTACAAGAAATGCAGGTGTTAATAATACACACAAAAGACATACAAACACATTTCAGTTTTATATTTTATTAGCATTTCATTTAAGTGTTCCTCCAATACCATTTAAGATGGCAGGGAAAAAAACCTATCTTTTTTTGGCTATTCCACACAGATCTATGTAGAATATGAAGCCTGTGCAGAATTGGAGGCTGAATCACACAAAGCAAGTTTTCAAAATTAAGGGGATTTTAAAGCTAAGAATACCATATTTGGTTAGAAGTCACATTTACAGCACGGTTCTATACACATCTACTCAGAAGTAAATCACACTGTGTTTTGGGAGGCTTACTATGGTTAATATGTAGGATTGTACTCTCAGTTAACGTTACGATAATAAATGTCTTGAATCACCAAGCTGATTGCCATGGATTAGTAATATTAGTTTCAGACATTATTTAGTATTTCTAAAAATAAATTCTGTGTGTTCTCTTCACTTCTGGCACGTTCACACTATTTTTCAAACCTTTTCCAACTGTGGCACTACAGCTATAGAACCTGTTGCCAACTGTGGTACACAGTGCCTCATTACTGCTCGCCTTTAGAAAATGCTTTAAAAACCTATTTGGGGGCTGTAGAACTGAATTAGATTTAGTTTTATTTATCTATTGGAGTTTGCTATTTTACTGGGCTGAAAGCTTTTTAGTATTATGGCTGGTTCTATTATTGTTTATTTTAGTGCTATGTTTTACTGTTTTGAGGTTTTTGTTACTTCCACCCTGAAAAAGGTAAAGGTAAAGGTACCCCAACCACTAGGTCCAGTCGCGGATGACTCTGGGGTTGCGTGCTCATCTCGCTCTATAAGCCGAGGGAGCCGGTGTTTGTCCGCAGACAGCTTCTGGGTCACGTGGCCAGCATGACTAAGCTGCTTCTGGTGAACCAGAGCAGCGCATGGAAACGCCGTTTACCTTCCCGCCGGAGCGGTACCTATTTATCTACTTGCACTTGACGTGCTTTCAAGCTGCTAGGTGGGCAGAAGCAGGGACCGAGTAACGGGAGCTCACCCCGTCACGCGGATTCGAACCGCGACCTTCCGATCGGCAAGCCCTAGGCTCTGTGGTTTAGACCACAGCGCCACCCACGTCCCTCCACCCTGAAAAGAGACCTATAAATATTTCAAATTAAATACTACACTGATCCATTTGTTTTGTACAAATATTCCATTGTGTGAATAGCAGGTATTTCTGCCAATTCTCTACCATCTGCAAGTCCCTGAACCCTCTGAAAAGTCACTTTCAAGAATCTCCAAATCTTCCATATCCATAGTGTCTGAGGTGTGTTAGGCTGAATGGTATGTGTGAAAAACTGGCGAGGCAACTGATTGCGCAATTTAGGATTCAAGCAATTAATCATAAGATTTCTGAAATACTTATTGGGTCTGGTTGGCTAATTAAAGGAAGCCTTTTCAGTTTGGAAGTGCTTTTGTCCTTTATGTTCGGCCAAAGGAGTTTTAAGTAGAGGTGTGGAGTTTTATTAATGCCACCTTTCAATAGTATGTGCCATATACACCAAAACAGATGTGCATGGAGTCATCACATCTATGCCCAGTTTGCATATTATCTCCTAAACTGAGGGGCTCAGCTCACTTGTAAGTGTCTGAAATGAATAGCAGATGCAATTGCCCATATTCATGAAATATATATTAGCATGAACACAGTACCAGCTTTTTTTGTTGTGTTCTTTTCACACCTCAAAACATCCCTAGAATCAAGGATGAAGAGTATTTGTTCTCTAATGAAGCACCTTAACAATTATGGGGACGGATAATTGTTCCTAAGTCTTCCTCACATTTTACAAAGATTTTAAAGTATTTAGGAAGAACACATTTGATAATTAAGTATCAGCAGATAGTTCACAGTGAAGAAAGAGGAAAAGAACTGCCTTTCTGATCTTTGCCCGGATGAAGTTGAGAAATATTTAGCGAAGAGAGAAGGTGAGTGAGCTCTTATCTTGAGAGATGAAGAATCCATGGTTTAAGGTTGGTGTACAGTATGTCAGAGAACTGACATTTATACAAAGGGAAAAGCAGTTGACAGTGATCAGTTGACAAGGGAAACTATTAATTTATACCCAGAACAACAAGAGCAGACTGTGGGTTCTGGTGAAGAGAAAACTGCTGTCGCTTAAGGTCAAAAAGGTGACAGAACAGCTTTAAAATTTATTTCTAGGGGGAAGACAAAAGGAACTGGGGGCCATCCAATTCAAAGTGCTCGAAGTCCGCTAAATGGGAATAGAGCAGCACTTGACAACAAGCTTACAGCAGGACATGACAGGCAATTAAAGAAACCAAGGGTATAAAGGAAATTGAACATGCTAAAGGGGGAAGTGGTGAAATTCAGTGGCGGAGAATGTCCTGTATGAAACCTTAGATAGCCACTGCAAGTTATGGCAGACAATACTGTACTGAGCTAAAAGGTAAAGGGACCCCTGACCATTAGGTCCAGTCGTGACCGACTCTGGGTTTGAGGTGCTCATCTCGCTTTATTGGCCGAGGGAGCCGGCGTACAGCTTCCAGGTCATGTGGCCAGCATGACTAAGCCGCTTCTGGCGAACCAGAGCAGCGCACGGAAACACCATTTACCTTCCCGCCAGAGCGGTACCTATTTATCTACTTGCACTTTGACGTGCTTTTGAACTGCTAGGTTGGCAGGAGCAGGGACTGAGCAACAGGAGCTCACCCCGTCGCGGGGATTCGAACCGCCAACCTTCTGATCTGCAAGTCCTAGGCTCTGTGGTTTAACCCACAGCGCCACCCGCGTCCCTGTACTGAGCTACACAGAGCAAAAATTTAACTCAATGTAAGACAGCTTGCTAGGGACGCGGGTGGCGCTCTGGGTAAAACCTCAGTGCCTAGGACTTGCCGATTGCATGGTCGGCGGTTCAAATCTCCGCAGCGGGGTGAGCTCCCGTCGTTCGGTCCCAGCTCCTGCCCACCTAGCAGTTCAAAAGCACCCTTAAGTGCAAGTAGATAAATAGGTACCGCTTTATAGCGGGAAGGTAAACGGCGTTTCCGTGTGCTGCTCTGGTGCCAGTTCGCCGGAGCGGCTTCGTCACGCTGGCCACGTGACCCGGAAGTGTCTGCGGACAGCGCTGGCTCCCGGCCTCTAGAGTGAGATGAGCGCACAACCCTAGAGTCTGTCAAGACTGGCCCGTACGGGCAGGGGTACCTTTACCTTTACCTTTTAAGACAGCTTGCTACAAGAGGAATGCAACATACTGATGCTTATATGATTTAGTTTGGTTTTGCAGATCTCTACTCCGGAAGGTACCTTTGAGCCACTTAACTTGTTTCTTCCTAACATCTGGATTGCAAAAGAGAAACCGAGTATTGACCCACAAAGTAAAGGTTTGAAAGAGACAATGCTACACCTGGCAGTAAGTGGCACGAATATTAAGGCTACCCAATTAGCAGCAAGTCAAAGATAACTCAGTAGTAACAGATGCCTGCTTAAAGGCTATCCGGGACCATGGAAGAGCTTCTGTTCAGTATGAACTTTGATGCCTGCCCTCAGTAATTAGGACATTGCTGGAAAAACAAAACAAAACAAAACAAAACAAAAGGCCTGCTTGAGAAGTTTACAAGAGAAGATTAACACCTTTGATGACTAGTTTGGTCAAGCTTGCAGTGCATGAGTCACACAGTGAGATTATGACTCAACACAAATCACACTTCGTATTTTTCTGCTGTCCACATATTTGTAACTTACCAGGTACCTCCTGCATCCCCTTCCCCTTCCTTTTTTGCATTTAATATTCAGTGAAAAGTGATTATCCAATATTTGTATAATGTCCAAATTCAGTTTTTTGAGGAATTGAAACAAACTATTATTTTTTTAATGACTTTGTACAGATCTGAAATGATGCTATTAAATCAAGGAGGTCACGGATGTCTAGGTTACTTCCATCATCATCATCTACTATTATTTATACCCCACCCAGCTGGCTGGATTTCCCCAGCCACTCTGGGCAGCTCCCAACATAATATTAATAATATTCTATTAATTTAAGTGGTTGCCCGATCAAAAGCATGTCATTTTGGGTTTTCTCCCCTCCCACCCCAAATTATCATAGTTGTCATGCTGTCTTTTAATATAATTTAGAAGAGGAGAATGTAACACGGGCATGGCCTAATTCCTTTCACAGTCACTCTTGTGAAAGGAAAGGCAGAGAAAAAATAATTTGTTCCATGTGAGTTTGATTCCTTTTAATTAAGGCGTAGGGTTGATTTCCTTTCAACTGGTAGAATAATGACCTTATTTGAAAGGGCATAAGCATCCTGCAAGCTGACTTAGTGCTACGTGTTTCATTAGGTTTTGCACTAGCGACTAACCACCTGGAAGAATTAAAGTTATATTCTTATCTGATGCAGGGACATAAACTCCATTAACATTAATGAGAGTTCTTTGTGCACAGAAGCAACTCTGGTGATTTTAAAATAGAATTCAAACCAGGAATTCAGCAATTTGCAATAAAGCTGCCATAAACAAACACACACATACACTTCGTTTTTAATCTGCCAGCTGTGACACTCTTTATCTAGAACCCATAAATCTCTAGCAGTTCCAGCACGTTAAAAAGGTACAAGTTACATTTTATTTTACATCATTTACAGTGCAATTCTATGGCTGTTTACTCTGAAGGAAATCCCAATGCATCCTGTGGTACTTAATTTCTAGTATTTAGAATTGCAGCCTTATTGCGCTTCATACCAGACAAAACAAAGAAAACCCACAGAAAAACCTAAAACACTTGCAATTTGTTTACAGTCAGTATCCAATTCTTACCTTTCTGACCAATACGTACATGTTCATTTTCAAAGAGTTCTAAAACAGTAAAGCAAAAAAAGAGTGCAAACAGTTCAAAACTATTTAAACTTTATAGAAGGACGTTTGATTTAACTATCAAAACATCTTAACTGAAAGCACGGCACCATACGTGCACCAGAATTCCAAGGAACATGCATTCATAATCCACATTTGCAACATTTCTCTCCGAAAAATGGCACCCGTCTGCCTCCAAACTACTTTTTAAACCCTTACCCTTTTCGTTCGAAATGTAATTTGAAGCAAGAGTTTGGTTTTTTTAAAAGGAAAACAATGCTGGTCCTCTCTCTCTACTCTAAGAGGATTAGAGGGCAGTTTGAGGATACAGTGATCAGAACGCTATATGAGATGGAAATTCAGAAGATGGGTTTGTGCATGTCCTTATCTTAGCTTCCCTGTATAGCCTGTTAGTGCGCTATTTTAAAGTATCATTTTATTTCACTCTCTCCTTTTGTAAACCACCTTAGGGGGGGAAATTAAGGTTCCAAAAAAAATTGTCTAAAATAAACAATGTTCTTCAAATGTGCTATTTCTCATTCATGAGACAGATGCTTCAACTATAGTTATAGAACATCAGCAGTGTTATTAATTTCCACCCATTTAAATTTTGATGGCTATCTGCTCATTCCCATCATGAGACAGGTATTATTTCCAAGTGGCGAATGCATTACCAGCAAGGAGAGCTTCCTGTAATTTAGAAATGGAGCTGAAGAGGGCATATGCTAATCTAGTTAGATAATAAATAGAACACAAAAAGATGCCCTGAGGCTCTAACTACTTTGCTGTAGCACAAGCTTTGTCCTTCATCAGTTGAATAAAGATAAATCAAGATAATGTTAGGTATACAGAGTATTCTATACACAGTATGAATGCTGCTGGAGATAAAAGCCCTAGCCGCAATAACATTGTCCATCTCTAAAGCATTGCAACACATTTCCTCTTGCTGTTCTGGATTAATCTGTAGTTCTAAACTACTAGAACCATTCTGCCTGACAGCTGGTTTTCAATATGCAGGGATTTTGTCTGAAGAAACTGCTAGTCATGTGATCCCACACTTGCACTCTGAAGTGCAGACGAAAGCTTTGTTGTTGTTGTTTAGTTGTTTAGTCGTGTCCGACTCTTCGTGACCCCATGGACCAAAGCATGCCAGGCACTCCTGTCTTCCACTGCCTCCCGCAGTTTGGTCAAACTCATGCTGGTAGCTTCGAGAACACTATCCAACCATCTCGTCCTCTGTCGTCCCCTTCTCCTTGTGCCCTCCATCTTTCCCAACATCAGGGTCTTTTCCAGGGAGTCTTCTCTTCTCATGAGGTGGCCAAAGTATTGGAGTCTCAGCTTCAGGATCTGTCCTTCCAGTGAGCACTCAGGGCTGATTTCCTTCAGAATGGATAGCTTTGATCTTCTTGCAGTCCATGGGACTCTCAAGAGTCTCCTCCAGCACCATAATTCAAAGTAATAATTCAAGGTAGTAAGACCAAAGCTTACTACCTCAGTAACAATTAGTTCTAACTTTTTTGGACTAAAATATTTACACTCAGTCTAGGATCTGCTATTTTCCAAATCAGGCTTCTCACATTTGCTTTAATAAAAGCAGTGTTTTAAATTTCGCCAAATTCCGACCAAGAGAGGGCTCCAGGAATGAAGATACTGTACTCAGTAAGTTTTGGCTTTTCCTGCTATCATTACCATACAAGTTATACTTGCCAAATCTCTTCCTACCACAGTGCAAATAAAGACACAAGAATTGTCACTGGAACAGACGTTAGCATCTATATCTCACACAAATCCTTGTAAGAACCAAGAACAATTTTACTACTTTAAACAAAGGCACTAACCTGGAGGCACATGTGCAGAATCATCAATATCCAGCTGGCCTGTGTTCAAGTCTAGCTCATTGAAATATTCTTTCTTGAGAAAAAATGTACAAAAAGCCCACAAATATTTTATCAGCAAAGGATATTTCTTTAAATTTTAATTAGTTGTCAACAAAACTCCAAATTGCTATCAATTAGAAATATGATTTATACTACAATTGTCATCTAGCCCCGTCCTCTGACATAGGAATAAAGCAAGAATTGGCAGTGGTTGCCAATTAGGGGTAATATCACAAATGTTATGGTCTGTTTTAGTGCTGTGCAATTTTTCAATATATTGGCCAAATTCGGTTTTGAAATCACACCGCAATAACGATTTTGACCCAGTGTCAGGCTTTGGGGAATCAGCTCCCTCCCCTGTAGCCATAGATAAGCAGAACAAAGGAAAAGGAGTCTTCTTACCAGTTAGAAACTTTAATAATCACAGCGAGAGAACAAAGAACACATCTTCTACTAATGGCGGTGCTCCCAATTAAAGAGCCCACCCCCTTCGGTCCCTATGAACCTACATCACTTCTACGTCTCGTAATCTGAGCTTGTCCCCTCTGTGGTTTCTGTTCTGCCACTTTCTGAGCCCTTCTCGACTTTGGGGAGGGTGGTGGAGGAATGCTGTCTGTGAATCTGTTAACCTTCTCCCTTCCAGTGTTTCCTCCCCTAGCTGTTCCCCATCCAGTATATCCCAGCTTCTGCCTTCTGAACTATGTCCCTCTGCAAACCACTGTTCCAAAGCTATATTGTCCTCCTGCTCCTGGGGAGAGTCAGGATCTGGAGCAGGAGCAGGGGGAGGCTCCCACCATTCCTCCTCAGTGCAGCCCTCCGCAACACAGTCCCTGACACCCAGCAATACGCAGCAGTATGTAGCTCCTTGCGCGAGGGGAGAGCAGGGCTGCCTTCCCTCATACTGAAGGAGACCAGGGTAGCCAATTGCAAGGCGCTGCCTTCCCCTTGTGCTGATGGAGACCAGGGCAGCTGATTGTCCTCACTTCAAGGCATCGTGGCACTACCTTCCCTTGGCACTGAGGTGGATCAGCTCTTCTCAGTCAGCAGGAAAGCAGTGGCAGCCGCAGTGGACACGCTCTTTGCTGGCTGCTCCACTGACGGTGGCTATCCCCATCCCCTCCCACTCAAACCATGCAGTGAGGTGACTCCACTTCCTCTCCTCCCCCCAACCATCCAATCTCCGCGGCTGCCCCTTCTCTTATTCCCACGCCTGAGCTGCACGTACCCTACGCGCCCGATACCTGTGACTGCTCCTTCTCTCATGCCCATGCTTGATCTCCCATTTCAGACATTGTGATATATCAGAATATCGCAATGTTTAGCTACTAATATATCACGATGCTGAAAACCAGATAACGCTCAGCTCAGCCCTAGTCTGTTTTTTAGCATACCTAAAATCCTTTGCATATTTCGGGTTGCCCCACATTTTGTTCCAAAAATTGCTTTGCAGAGGTCACAACCATAACGTTATTTTAAAAAGTAGGGGGTCCGTGGCTTGGCTTTTGAAAAATAGGGGGTCCTCAATAATTAGCTAATTGGGAACCGCTGCTGTAGAGCATTATTTAAACATATAAAGTAGTGAGGAAATTTCCACCAGGAAACTCACATTGCCCCTGGATGTAAATTGCTCACTCAGCTTCTTCCTTCAACACAAGGACTTGGGTCCTTTGCTCGGCCAGAGCTCAGTAAACTCAAATTATTCCCTCACCCTCCAAGTGTCCTTTCCACATTCTCCCCTCCAAAATGTTGTTCAGAGCACTAAGCAGGCAGTGGTCACAATAAAGCAAAGGACAAGAACACCCACTGAAAACAATGCAACCTATCTGAAGGCCCAAACAGGAACTGTGAATGTTCAGTATCTCACAGTTAAGAAAATCTAGCTCTTTTGTTCATATACACTTATTTCTACTGTTTTAGAAATGCTTTTGAATGAATGAATGATATTTAAAGATAATTATTATTACCAGTTCAGGGATGTCCTTCACTTTCAGTGGCACCTGAATTAATCCCAGGTGGTTTCTAAAACTAGGCTGCTCACTGTTTTCATAATTCGGATTGCGAAGGTTCATCAATACCTTTAAGAAAAGCAATACAAGTTAGGGTTTTCTATTGGCCTGATCAAGAAGGCTGTTCTTATGTTGTCGTGTTCATTCATCACAGTAAGCCACTGTCAAATATTTCTGATTGCATGCTATGGTCCTAGGAAGCTTAGTGTTCATGCATCTCTGGACTTGTGCTGTGTAAAGACAAGGTTAAAGAGACAGGAAGAGTCTGCTGTAGGTTTTTCATCTGGTCTCTTTTGTTTATATGAAACACTCCAGCTTGTACATGAATAATTTCTCGGAGTTAATACAGGATTATGGACTGAATATAAATTTATAGATGCAGGCCAAGCACTAAAAGGTTAACATTCAAAGAATGTCAAGAGATGTCAAGAAACAACAGAAAACACAAGAGACATAACAAAACACTGTTTACTCATGCAAAGTGTTTTCATAAGGTTAAACTGAGAGAGATTTAATTAGCCTTAATTGCAGATAAATGCTATAGTTACATTATAATTCAAGCCACCAGCAAAATAAAAAACAACCCAAGAACATATAAAGTTCAATAGTTCAGGCTTGCAACGTAAGCCTTCTATCTACATTTGCATGAGTGCAATAGAATGTTCATTAATATATGCAAATTAAGCTATGATACGAGTCAACCAAACTAATGGCATTTGCAATGCTAAAGTGGAAAGAAATTCCTATTTACACAAGGGAATTTTTCAAATATGAGACTTTCATTTACCTTCACAAACGGCATATCCATATGCTTGCTTTCTGTTCTGTTGTTTTTATTAGGCAAGCTAATGCAGATTTACACTGCCATACGGAAATAGTTCTTGGAAAATAAGATACCATACTATTTTCAGGTTCAAAAGATCTATCAATCAATTTTGTAGCCACTGGTTCAGGTTTCTTCTGCTCATGCTTTTCATTTTGGATTTTAGTAGTTGTTTCCTTCTCTTCTCATTAAAATATGTCGCTCTCTTCCTTGCACAAGTGGATTTAGACCTCTCTCACTTCTGAAGCCACACGGTAAAACGAGCACGTATGACCTTAAATATGGGGGCAGGGCAAACACACGGGAGGGGGGTCCCCAAAGGACACTCTGTGTTGTCCTCTAGCTAGACCAAAAGATTGAGGACATGGATTGTCAAACTGTTCTGGGAGCCATGAAAGTCCCCTGGAAACTTTAAGAGCTAACCGCTAAGAAGATTCGTAATGACAGGGAAGCTTTCGTGAAAAGCATTTCCCCATCACTACTGATCTTCTCCCTGCAGTGTGTAGCTACAATGTAGAACAATGCAATATATGCAGTGTTATGGTGGGCTCCAGAAAGCTTGGCCACTGCTATGCATTAGCCAAATGTTGTTTGGGAATTTACCTTGGCAATATGAATGAGGTTTAATGAACAGGGAAAGTGTGAAACTACTGACCTAGGAAACAATGAAGTAACACAAGTGAGAACAGAGATACAAGACGCAATGGGTGGGATCCAGTGGTGACTGTCCTCAGAAAGGAATCTGTTGGCCATACAGGGGAGAAATTGCCCATACAGTGGTACCTTGGGTTAAGAACTTAATTCGTTCTGGAGATCCATTTTTAACCTGAAACTGTTCTTAACCTGAGGTACCACTTTAGCTAATGGGGCCTCCCGCTGCTGCTGCGCAGCCATTGCACGATTTCTGTTCTCATCCTGAAGCCAAGTTCTTAACCTGAGGTACTATTTCTGGGTTAGCGGAGTCTGTAACCTGAAGCGTCTGTAACCCGAGGTACCACTGTATTCCATCTCAATCTGCTTCAGGAGTTTGGAGAAGATTTGGGGGATGTTGCAGAGGGGGTTCAGGGCACTGGAGGGGCAAGGAGGATCATCAAAAAAGGCATCTGTCCATGTTCTGCGGCCAACTTTCCCATCTGATGAAATGCAGTCCTTATACTGACAGACTACTGTGCAACAGACTCTTGAATTGCGATTCTTACAGCTGAGCAGAATTTGAATGCCGACACACAAGCTGACTGATTGCTAAACGTTTGTTTCATTTCTTTCGTCTGTGCCCAAATTACGAGATAAAGCTTACTGGGTGGAATTCAACTTTGCACTAATTTGATTGTTTCAGCAGTGCAAGCGTTTCTGCTTGCCAGAGGAAACAATCTCCCGTCTCCCCCCCCCCCCCCACTGTTCTGAGGGTTTTCCTGGCCCATCCAGAGCTGATCTATTTTTTTGCGGGGCAGGGAAAGAGAAGGGGAGGAGTAAGCCCACTGTACTAGCAGGAAGCCTTACACTGTCTTCCGCTAGTATGCCAGGGTAGCTGAATCCGGCCCAGTTTATGGAATTTATGGCAAAAACGCTCAAGGAGGTTATGAAACAGGAAGTGGCCTGGCAAGAATGCTGAGGCCAGTCAGAGAGGAAATTAAGCCCCCAAGCATGTGTTTCCCTACACTTGCCATAGAGCAACACCACAAACCTTTTCGGCTTTTAGAGATTTCCCAGTCCTTGTTTCCTCATTTTACTTCCATAACCATGCCTGTAGTTTAAGCCGTTGCTTTGAACTGGCAAAGTCTATATGAACTTCATAACTCCAATAAGACCCTTCATATTTTATTGTATAAAGATCTATAAATACATAATTGAAGATCTAACTTTATTTTTTTATTACCTCAAGAAAATCTTTAGGTGCGTAAACGGGCCTGAAGAGACTTAGATCTGAAATTAATAAGATACATAAAGTTATTTGATTAAAAAGAATTGTCTTTGTGGGGAAAAATATCGGGAGTGGTCCACAGCTTCCATCAGATTCTCAAAGGGGTCCATGATCCAAAAAACGGTTATGAACCACTGATGGATAAATTCGCCTAATACTAATTACAGCAATATGTGTTCATATCAACATAAATTTTGAATATACATTCAAAGCAAATTCTGAAGCATGCAATCTTATCATCAAGTATCAGCTGAAGTGCGAAGACAGCTGTTAAAAGCTAACATAAAGGCCAGATGTTATCCACATCTACACGAGATACTGCCACTTCCTTCCAGAATTCTGCCAGTACCTAGGAGACACTAATTTAAGCAGTCTGCAATCTCAATCTTAGGGTGCAGAACTAAATGCAGATATCATGGATTTAACTACAGCTTAATCTCCACCCTGTTTTAGAAAATCTAGTCTAATGAAGTGTTCTGAAAAACTCAAAAGCTCGCTCACTGTTTTATGATGTTTTGGTAATGCTCAATGGTGAACTTTGGAATCCTTAATAAATTTAATCTCACCAAGAAAGTATAAAACGGCCTCGGCCCAGTATACCTGAAGGAGAGTCTCCACCCCCATCATTCAGCCCGGACACTGAGGTCCAGTTCCAAGGGTCTTCTTGCGGTTCCCTCACTGAGAGAAGTGAGGTTACAGGGAACCAGGCAGAAGGCCTTCTTGGTAGTGGTGCCCACCCTGCGGAATGCCCTCCCCTCAGATGGGAAGGAAATAGACAACTATCTGACTTTTAGAAGACCTCTGAAGGCAGCCCTGTTTAGGGAAGTTTGTAATGTTTGATGTTTTATTGTTTTTAATATTCTGTTGGGAGCCGTCCAGAGTGGCTGGGGAAACCCAGCCAGATGGGCAGGGTATAAATAAGAAATTATTATTATGATGATAGTAAGATCCAGAGGCTTTTGAAATTAAACTGAAGGCCACATGTGGCTGTAGGGCTGCCAAGCTGGACCTTCAGCAGACTGCTTTTCAGTCTGAGTTTGAGATTTGAAGCAACTTTCTCACCCTTGTAGGGTAACCTGCACACAAAGATGGAAAAGGGAAATGCAACTCCATTAGCTGAGCTGGACCTCTCAGCAGCTTTAGATGCCATAGTATCCTTCTGGGCTATCTCTTGGGAGTGGATCAGGAGGCAATGCACTTCAGTAGCCCGAGCACTTCTGTATTATTTTTATTACAACATTTGTTAGGCTTACACATGCACATTTACACTACACTGAAGTACAAAGTACTGAATGATATCAATGAGATGTATTAATTTGTGCCCCTTCACTGTCAGGCGGCAGAAGAACCAACCCCCACAGCAGGTTGCCAGGAACGGACAATACAAGGGAAAGTCCTTACCATCCGCTTTTATTCAATATTCACAGAGAGAAGCTTGGGAATGCAGCTTCTTGGAATAATGGCGTTGTCCCGAGTCAATCTCCACCCTCTCTGTCTCTCACTTCCTCATGCGTCATCACTATGGGTGCTGAAAAGTACCCTCTGCCTTTGAGCTCTTTGCTCTCCTACTTTCAAGGCCCACCGGGTTCTGGGAAGGGGGGTCTGCGACGCTTTCTAAAGACACTGAGTCCGTCAGCTGTCTCCCCCCTGGTATTCTTTTTCTTCCTTCTCCTCCTCCTCCTCTCCCATCATTTCCCAGCTTTTCCCCTCATCTGCCTCTGAGCTGCGACCTCCCTCAATCCCCTGTTCTAATTCTGAACTGTCTTCTTCTCTGGAAGGGTCAGGCTGGAGAGGCGGTCTCCACCCTTCCTCCTTTGCCCAGTCCCTGACATTCACTGACAGAAGGCTTTGTGAACTGGTGGAGGCTTCCATGAGCAGAAATGGGAAAGGTGGGGGAATTTTATAACCCCCCTTTGGTAATGTTCACAGAACTCTAGCCCAATGGTTGCCATTAATTTGATTTTGATCTGATTTTAGAATGAATTGATTTTAGAATGCTGTATTACTTTACTGTTGTTAGCCGCTCTGAGCCCGGCTTCAGCTGGGGAGGGCGGGATATAAATAAAATTATTATTATTATTATTATTATTATTATTATTATTATTATTATCACTCTTCCCCTTCCCTCTGCACCCATCACCTATAAAGGGTTGGGGAACCTTTGGAACAGAATAGGGAGTGGCTCGAGGGATGCAGGGGGAAAAGGAGGAATTTGTGTTTCCCCTCCCTTTCTACTTACAGAAGCCTCCGTCGTCTCTGCCACTATGGAGCCAGGGCAGGTCCCTGGGTTTCTCAGAGAGCAAGATAGCAAGGGCTGATGATAACTAGAATGCAGGCGGTGGAAATCTTACAGTGAATATGACAGAGTGTGGGTGCAAGCACATAATCGCACCTACCAGGTGGCATTGGCAGCGGCAAAGAAAGCCTTCAGCTGCACTTTCTAGGGGACTGGTTGGTTCCAACCTTTCTTCAGGGTCACTGGAACCCTAAGGCCAACCATAATAGATTCACAGGAGGTCAATCCAGTCATGTTAGATAATTACCTTTCTACTCTGGCCTTCAGGTCTTCTTGAAATCGCTGTTAAACCAGGCACAGGGAACCTTTCTAGGAATGTTTTATCTTGCTGCTGGTTTAACATTGCAATGATTTTTATATCTTAATTTTGTTATGTGGTTCTGTATTTTATATTACTATTTGTGAACCACTCTGGTATTTTCTAAATTAAGAGTGTTATGTAAATGGATCAGATAAATAATAAAAAAGCCTCTCTATCAGCAGTGGGGCACAACTAAATAAAGTCATATTTGCATAAAGTAGGATTCACATACCTGGCTCATCTGTTCCCATTTCATTCCATTTACTTAGAAGTTCCTTTTGCTCATTGATTGATCTCTGTAAATCATTAAAAAAAATGCCTTTTGCAATAAGCCAACGAAGAACAAAAAGCAAAAGTTTCTGTTAGCATTTAATAACATGGATTAAAAATCCACCTCCACCCCATTAAATTAGGACTAGCTTTGCCTAAGTGCAGCATTCACAGTAAAATAAATTAACAAAGCTACCTTTTGTGCTAATGGAATGCCGAGTTCTGTACACATACTATTGAGGCTCTTCAGAATGCGTTTTTCCCAGTTTCCCTGCAACAGATGACACAAATCAATATAACGTTTCCATCTTTCCATCTATTTTCAATTTTTAATTGGTGTTTTACTTTTTAGCTTAACTGTATAATAAATAAAAAATGACAATAACAATTTCATTTATTTGACATTTTATACAAAAAAAGTGCAATGACTTGCAGCACCATGAAATATGAAACAGAGTCAATTAACACCAAACACCAAGAAAAACTAAATATATTATATGATATATGCCGTACTTCCTCAAACAGGCAATGTACCCACTGAATAGGTGCCACCAAACTGTCTTGTAGGGGTTGACACAGGTTGACAGCAAGTTGGCTTGGCCTAGTTACTGTTCCCAACTGCCACTGATATGGTTTACCATGCTGTTCACCAAAGCCATTGAGTAATTTGTGGAGGAGATTGGAATTTTTCTCTATATAAACAATTGCTTTTTTAAAAAAGCCATAGCTTAGATCAGGGGGGTTAAGAAGACTATAGCCTTGATCAGAGCAGGAGAAAGATGCTCCATCCCTCTGATCAACATTACAGCCTTCTAAAAACTTTTTTTAAAAAAGGATAAATCACAGAACACATGCAGGTCCATGTTACATATAGTTTCATCCCCAGAACCATCACTTTAAAATAGAGAGGTGCAATCGTGCTAGCTTGGCAGCACTACTCTGGTGCTTTTTCCTCTAAAAATCCAGAACTGGAGTATTCCATATTGCTTATAGGTCCCACTCTGAGGACATATAGCAGAGGTGGGCAACTGATGGCCCTCCAACTTCCATCAGGCCCAGCCAACTTGGTCAATGCTCAGTAGTGATGGAAGCTGCAATCCACAGGTTTCCCACCCCTGACATACAGAAACACTTCCATTAAAAAGGTAAAGGTAAAGGACCCCTGGACGCTTAAGTCCAATCAAAGGCGACTATGGGGTTGCGGTGCTCATCTCGCTTTCAAGCCAAGGGAGCCGGCATTTGTCCACAGACAGCTTTCCGGGACATGTAGCCAGAATGACTAAACCGCTTCTGGCGCAACGGGAGACAGTGGCGGAAACCAGAGCACACGGAAATGATGTTCACTTTTCCGTCGCAGTAGTACCTATTTATCTACTTGCACTGGTGTGCTTTGGAACTGCTAGGTTGGCAGGAGCTGGGACGAAGCAAAGGGAGCTCGCCCCGTCGTGGGGATTCGAAGCGCTGACCTTCTGAACGGCAAACGCAAGAGGCTCAGTGGTTTAGACCACACCGCCACCCACATCCCTATTAAAACTGTATACAAATACAGTATGTATGACAATACTTAAATACAAATAGTAAAATTAAATCACAGCAAACCTGGGCTTTCCTCATGTAAGCCAAAGATTCTTTGGTGTGTTCAGGAGGGGCTGATGGGTGGCATGGTAAAGGGAACCTTGAGGAGGAAAGCAACAACAGGTTTTGTTTTTACTCCATTTATTACTTTGATTCTCTCTTCAGAGTTAATGCTAAAAGATTGAGTGCATCACCACCACAATCATTTTCAGAGACACTAATGAGATAACAAGCAATCATCCTCAATTCACGGCCACCAGCCTTGTGAAACATTACTACATCCCATTACTTAACTCTGCGTTGAACAAAATATAATAATTTACTGGAAAAACAAACCCACGATGGGCCACTCAGACACATGCACAGTCATAATACCAGATAATTTCAGCCTTTTTTGGATTGCATATCTTTTTTAAAAAAACTTAAAACAGCAAAACATACTTGAGAGGGGAGACAGGGAGTGAATTCATTTCTTACTCCATCACTAAAAGATTCTCCTGGTACTCTGTCAGAATTATGTTCAAACGAAGCAAGTCTAATACCATGGTTCAAGTCAGGCATAGGCAAACTCGGCCCTCCAGATGTTTTGAGACTACAATTCCCATCATCCCTGACCACTGGTCCTGTTAGCTACGGATGATGGGAGTTGAAGTCCCAAAACATCTGGAGGTCCGAGTTTGCCTATGCCTGGTTCAAGTCATGACTATTCAGTATATATTTCCTAACACATCAAGCCATAGTACCAGGCCACTAGACATCTGAGATTGCCAGGTTGTTCGACTTGGGAAACATATCCCCCCATAGCTAAGATGTTAGGGTGCAATTCTCCTCTTCTCCCCACAACAACTGTAACATTGCTTACACCCAACTCGCGGCTAGCCCCACCCCTCACTCCAAGCTGAAAAACTCTTCCAGCATTAAGTGAAAGATAACTCCGAAACCTCTGAGGTATCCACTCACTTAATACTGAGAGCATTTCAAGCTTCAGAGTGAAGCTTGTGGTGTTATAATTGGTCTACATAAATAAAAGCTATAGAGTGAGAAAATAGGAGCCATTTAATAGGGAATAAATTGGCTAAACAAAGTCTGATTGGACACTACTATTACAGCCAGACTTCATCAAAATACACTGAATTAGAGACCAACCTTTCATCCGCCAGCAAAACCATCTCGACTTTTATTAAGATGATTAAAACAAAAAAGCAGTATGTCTCTTTTGTGCCATTTCCCTATTCATTTCTGTGGCATTCTCTACACAAAGCAAAAATTATAATCCATTGCAGATTGAAAAAGTATCTGGCAAGGCCTTCTTTGATGTACACATTAAGTGATATTACAAATAATGCATGCAGATAGGAAGACAAGAAAGACTATGCCCCATCTCTAAAAATGCAGACAAAAACAAACTCACACACTGAGTTCACTATAAACAGCATTTTGCAGCTTCTTTTCCCATCCTGGTAAAATAAGAGGTTAGAAAATGAAAGTTAGAGGAACTCATATTATAAAAAATACCATCAAACTTCTATGTGCACTTGGGAGTAAAAACCTTTGAAGTGAAGTAAGCATACAGAGGTTCCACTACCAAAAGCACTCTAAAAGCACAAGTGCCCTGCTCATTTATTCTAAAATTGTTTAACAGTACTACCCCATAGTATTTGTTTTACAGATTGCAGACTAAAACCCCAATCCTAAACACAGTTGCTCAGCCGATAAGTTCCCTTGCACCCACAGATTTACCGTATTTTTCGCTCTATAAGACACACCTTTTCCCCTTCAAAAATTAAGGGGAAATGTGTGTGAGTCTTATGGAGCGAATACAGGCTCTTTGGCTTCAGCTCCCCCCGCACTCCAGAGGCTTTGCGTTGCTTTCGCTGAAGCTGCCTGAAGCCCCTGGAGCGCAGCGGAAACTCCCGCTGCGCTCCGGGGGCTTCAGGCAGCTATCCGCAAGCCTTTGGAGCGCAGCAGGAGTTCCCGCTGTGCTCCAAAGGCTTGCAGATAGCCACCTGAAGCCTGGAGAGCGAGAGGGGTCGGTGCACACTGATCCCTCTTGCTCTCCAGGCTTCGCTTCACTGGAGAGGCGCTGCACAGTTTTCCCTCTCTGCGCAGCACCCCTTCAGCGAAGCGGGAGGAGAAACGGAAGGGGCTCCGTTTCTCCTCCCGCTTCGCTGAAGGGGCGCTGCACAGTTTCCCCTCTCTGCGCAGCACCCCTTCAGTGAAGCGGGAGGAGAAATGGAAGGGGCTCCGTTTCTCCTCCTGCTTCGCTGAAGGGGCGCTGCACAGAGAGGGAAAACTGTGCAGTGCCCCTTCAGTGAAGCGGGAGGAGAAATGGAAGGGGCTCCATTTCTCCTGCTGCTTCACTGAAGGGGCGCTGAGCAGAGAGGGGGAGAAATTTTCCCCCCTGTTCTCCCCCTCCTATGGTCCGGTGCGTCCTATGGTCTGGTACGTCCTATAGAGCAAAAAATACGGTACTTCTAAGTAAATGAATGGGATTCCAATTCAAGGTTGTGGCCCTCACTGCACATGACATCAGCGCATACTGTTAGCATGCAAACCATCTGCCTCAGCACAAAACTACATGGCTAAAAGACTGCACAAGCGAGCAGGCAGGCAGAGGAGCTCCAGAGTTGGATTAAGGGGCGTGTGACTGGTTCAGTTGCACTGGGCACAGAGCCTCGAGGGTGCCACAACTATGAAGTAGACTGGAAGATGAGAGGCTGTCGCTAAAATTTGAGACCCCAAGGTCCGCCACTGGCAGCTTGGAAACTGGAAAAGAACTGGCTGTTTGTTTTTCCTTTCAGGTGTTTACTCTTGCTGTAAGTGACTAGTCAAGATCTGTGTGCCAGTAACACTGGCAAATTTATTTACAATACAGGGGTAAAGCAAGCTTCAAGTACGTGGATGCTGCCCCAATATTCAGCAGTGAGGCAGGCTAAATAATAATAATAACAACGATAACAATAATAATTTTATTATTTATACCCCGCCCGTCTGGCTGGGTTTCCTTAAAAGACTTTAAAAGGTAACAAACTAAAGAACAAACCTGATGTCTTCAGAAATTCCTTAATATCTTCCTTCAAGGATTCTAGCTTAATTTCTGGATTGTGTAGACTGAGCTAACATAAAAGATTTTTAAAAAAAGTCAGAAGTGTAAGCATTCTTTAGAAAAATTAAAATTTTAAAATTTTAATAGAAACGGCTATAGATATACAGTGGTACCTCGGGTTACATACGCTTCAGGGTACATACGCTTCAGGTTACAGACTCCGCTAACCCAGAAATAGTGCTTCAGGTTAAGAACTTTGCTTCAGGATGAGAACACAAATCGTGCTCCGGCGGCGCGGTGGCAGCAGGAGGCCCCATTAGCTAAAGTGGTGCTTCAGGTTAAGAACAGTTTCAGGTTAAGAATGGACCTCCGGAACGAATTAAGTACTTAACCCGAGGTACCACTGTATTGGGAAACAATACCCTAAATATTCTTAAGGCAGAGCAAATGTTGAAACCTCCAAAATGTATTCTGCTGCATCACAAACAACTCCACAAGATGTCACAAGCCTAGGCATGAGGTTTGTAAATGTCTGTGCAGCAGAGCTAGGAGCAAGGTAAGAGTGAAGCAGGGACTTCTGAGCACCATGAATATGCAGCAGCACACAGCTCATTCACATTAAATTATAGTTAAATATCAATTATGGCTTAACATGACGTGCTAACACAGCCACTATGAGCAAAGTCAAAGGAATGTTTTGACTTTGATCAGTTGGAAGGTGTGAAGGGGAACCGGCAATGAAAGGCTCCTATGAAATTATGGCCATAATTTTTTCTGTCTGTATCTTTGTGACCATTTGAAGTTAAGTGATCAAATGTCTGAAATATCTAAACAGTTTCCTTTCCAGCACTTTTCCTTCTAATTTTGCAATCCACAATTTTTTACCAAACAAAATTGTTTCTAAGTAGGTAAGCTACTAAAACAAAGAGCAGGACAGTAAATGTTGTGAACCATCATATATTAGATATTATAAAGGACTCAATGTCCTGGACATCTGATTTGATTTGTCAATTAAATTATGCATCCTAGCTATGGAAAGAATGATGTGGCAGAAGGGAGCACTTTTCATATTTAAGAAAAACATCCAAGTGGATGAAATGGAAAATAGCTAATTTTTTTTTGAAAAAGCTAGCTCTCTCACTCATACATAATTAATTTTGAGTTCAGAAAATTGAAATAACTTCAAAGATTATCTGAAGTGTCTGGAGTCCTACATGTTGCTAGCTATCAACAAGGAAACAAATATATAAAGTATTTCACATATACATTACTAATAGCCATCTCATACCTTTGAAGCACCACAAATTGGTACTCAACTTAGTGTTACTTGCTTTGTGCTGAAAACATATAGCATCTATCAGCTGGCAACTAACTAATAATGACAACAATTTTACTTTATTTCTTAATTTATCAGGTATTATACTTCAGGGTGTGTTATTTGCTATAAATTTCAACATAAAGGTGTATTGTAAATATCATTTTCTACACCGCAGATTTCATCTGAGGAAAAGATGAATCTTCTAATAGCAGATGCTTCAGGAGACAAATGAGGGAAAGCAGGGAATGACTGTAAATAGTTACTGCTGTAGTAATGGAAAGCAATAACAGGTATTTATTGCAACTCATGTAAATAAATACCCCCGACTTAAAATTGGTAGCAGGTATCACTCTAAACTAAAAGAAGGAAGTAGTGAACTATAGCAAACAAAATTGCAGGGATATCAGCAAAAGGTTTACCGTCTGTAAGTTACAATGTTTATGAAACATTAATAACAAGTAAACTAAGAAGAAACACATTAAAGGAAGAATTGGGTCCAGCTACTATAACTAGACAAATTCTTCAGTAAGAACAGTATCTCCTAATTTTAACATAAGAGAAAATTATCACAAATTAATCAATGGCCTTAATTGCAGGAAGAATACATAACATACATAAAACAGAATATATAACATGTATAAAACAGGTCAAAAAATGCATTGGAGGTCCCACCGGCAGGTGAAGGCTCATTACTCTGGGATAATCCAGTAATGTCCACCTTCTTGAAAAAAAGAAATCTGCTTGTGCAAAGGGACTTATCGTCTTCCTGCTCCAGCCTGTGTACCTCCTAAATCTGCTTGAGGGGCCCCCAACCCTTCCCAACAGATTTTAGGGGTGCACAGGGGACTGCAGGATGGTGGAGAGTCCCATTGCGTGAGTGGGAGCCCACTCAAACTACATTAGATCTCAACCTTCGTAATTTTATTAGGTTGCTTAGATTCATCAGTGACATCGGTGACTAGTGATAAAGTTTCCAAACATATTCTCTCAACTTCAAAAAGTTTACCCCATATTTACCGTATTTTTTGCTCTATAAGACTTA